TACCGGCGAGCCGTTTCCACTTGTCGAAACCGAAGATTCCTGGCCGCCGCCGTCGCTGTGGCTTCTCCTCAGAAGATTCTTGAAAATGCACCGTTTGGATGCGCTCGCGGTCGAAACGGATCCGTCGCTATGGCTTCTCCTCAGAAAATCCTTTATACGACACCGTCTCGGTTCGCTTGAAGATTTACTCTTAATCTTCAAGCTATCCCCTCTCGCCGGAGATCTGATCGGACTCCAGAAACAGCTTGGGGAAAGGTTCTCCGAATCGTCAGAATCCGACGATGAATGCGATTGTGACGGAGAAGGTGGAGATGGAGATGGATCAAGACTCCAGCCATCGTAGAAAAGATTCTTCGAGGTGACTCGATCGTCTGCCACGTCGTCGTCGTCGGAAGAGCGCTTAAAAGTCGCCGTAGTCATCGGGAAATGGAAGAAGCTCTCGTCACCTAACGGTAATGTTTCGAACTCGAATTCTTTGTCGTTTTCTCCGTCAACTTTAACGGAAGAATAACTCTCGGACTCACGTACAACTCTAACGGCGGCTTCAACAAGGTCACCGGAGGCGTAGAAACTGAAGCTGGGGCTAAACGACACCGTAGAAGATAAATCTTGCATTGTACTCATGATGTGCTCTTCTGTGATAAAATTCTGTATGATCTTGACTCTGTTCATAAACTTTGGACTTGCTCTGTGTGTTGTATATATATAATCTTTGAATGTGCTTGCGTAAGTGTGTACGTATATAGAGAGAAGTGAATGTAGTTGTTGGTTTACTTGTGCATCAATTCAAGAGGAGGCGGCTTTGACAAGGAAACGTGATCTATTTCTGTCTTTCTTTAAGGATTATTTATCGTTTTAAAAACAATTAATCATCGAATTTTACGGAAATGCCGCGTCAAGGCTGACGACTTACGGGAAAATAATACTAACGGGAAAAATGGATTAAAAATAAAAGAGATATGAAATAAGTTTAGTAGTTTTGTCAAAACTTAGATGGATTTAACACTTAACTTTTGTTTCATCAGATGGTCAACATTTTATGATTAACACTTAATTCAAGTTATATATGTTATTCCTACAATATTTAATAGTGATGATTGGATCCAGAAAAGATATATTGTTAATAAGACACTACTGTTGTGAACTATCTGTTTCATTAATGGAATAGGGGATATATATACAAGGATAATAGAGGATAAGCTAAAACCCTAATGGGCCATGGGCCGGTTATGGAGTCCATCAATATAGTTTATAACACTCCCCCTTGGAAGATATAACCGTGCCTGATACTAAACCGGGATCTCTATAATGCGCTGGGGAATGTTGCCTCATTAAAACCTTACCAGGAAAACCCAGTGGGAAAAAACCATGGTGAAGGAAAAAGAGTACAACACGCATTACTCCCCCTGATTTGAGCATCACTGTAGATCCTTAAGTCTGCGCATCCCGATCTGATGAATGAGCTTCCGGAACGTTGAAGTCGGCAATGATTTGGTGAATAGGTCGGCTGAATTCTCACTTGACCGGATCTGTTGAACTTTTACTTCACCGGCTTTCTGTAACTCGTGTGTGAAGAAGAACTTTGACAAAATGTGCTTCGTCCGGTCTCTCTTAATGTAGCCATCCTTTAGTTGGGCAATGCAAGCCGCGTTGTCTTCAAACATAACCGTGGGCTCCTTATCTTCTTTCATACCACAATCTGATTGGATGTGCTGAGTCATGGACCGCAACCAAACACACTCTCTACTAGCTTCGTGAATGGCTAAAATTTCCGCATGGTTGGATGAGGTTGCAGCAATTGTCTGCTTCATAGACCTCCACGAGATAGCTGTCCCTCCATGCGTGAAAACATAACCAGTCTGTGACCTACCACAGTGCGGATCCGATAGATATCCTGCATCAGCAAAACCAACTAACCCATCCTTGTTGTGGTTAGTGTAAAACAATCCTAAGTCCTTAGTTCCTTGTAAGTATCTTAGAACGTGTTTGACACCGTTCCAGTGCCTTTTAGTTGGACATGAACTAAAACGAGCTAGGAGACTCACGGCAAAACATATGTCTGGTCTAGTGTGACTAGCCAAGTACATTAATGCTCCTATGGCACTGAGGTATGGCATTTCAGGACCGAGAACTTCTTCATCGTCCTTCTTTGGACCGAATGGATCACTGTCCAATTCGAGGCTTCTCACAACCATTGGGCTGGTCAATGGGTGGGCCTGGTCCATATTGAATCTCTTGAGTACTTTTTCAATATATGCCGATTGGTGCACAAGGATTCCATCATTCACGTACTCAAGTTGTAGCCCCAAACAGAATTTAGTCTTGCCTAGGTCTTTCATTTCAAATTCGGCTTTTAAGCATTCTACTGTTTGGGCGATTTCACCAGATGTTCCGAGGATGTTTAAATCATCCACATATACTGCTATGATCACAAATCCTTTGTTTGCAAACTTCTTGATAAAAATACATGGACTGATCGGATCGTTTTTATAGCCTTCTCTGATGAGATATTCGCTTAACCGGTTATACCACATACGTCCGCTTTGTTTGAGTCCATATAAGGATTTGTTCAGCCTAATGCAGTGCTGATCTCGAGATTCTCTCTTGTCCTTAAGTTCAATACCATCTGGTAATCTCATATAAATCTCATTATCCAGTGGTCCATAAAGATAGGCGGTTACAACATCCATTAACCGCAAATCTAAATTTTCTTTTATGGCCAGACTTATCAGGAATCGAAATGTTATTGCATCCACCACAGGAGAATAAGTCTCTTCATAATCGATTCCAGGTCTTTGTGAGAATCCTTGTGCTACAAGCCGTGCTTTGTATCTAACAACTTCACCGAGTGCATTTCTCTTACGCACAAAGACCCATTTGTGGCCCACTGGTTTAACATTGAATGGTGTCCTTAAGATCGGACCAAACACATTCCTTTTCTTTAATGAATTCAATTCCACGTTTATGGCTTCTTTCCATTTTAGCCAATCTGATCTTTGAGTGCACTCTAATATAGACGTGGGTTCATGATCCTCATTCATTTCAAGTGCTACCTTATATGCAAATATTTCATCGATGTCGACATCTTTTCGGTTCCATTGTATTCCAGACATGATATAATTGATTGAGATCTCATTATTATTAATCCCTTCGGAACCTTGAGATTTGGCGTCCCGAATCTCTTGGACCGGTTCACTAGGGTTAATCTCTGCCGCGGCTATGTCTGCTATTTGAGGAATCCCGGTTTCAACCGTTGCACCTTTCTTTGGTTTCCGGGGATTCTTATCTTTGGAACCTAATGGTCTGCCACGTTTGTTACGTGATGCAGATTCTGTAGCAACTTGAGTCTGTCCCTTTTGGACATCTATTCGTACTGGTGCATTACAAGCTGGTATGTACGATTTGGTTACTCTATTCGGGTCAGCAAAGGAATCTGGCAATTGATTAGCTAGCTTTTGTAAATGTATAATCTTATGGACCTCTGATTCACATTCTAGAGTCCGAGGATCTTGCCATTGTAAGGATGTTTGATTCCATGAAATTTCTTTAACCAGCTTGTTGGTCTCTCCACCTAATATAGGATATACCGATTCATCAAATTGGCAATCCGCAAACCTGGCCTTGAAGAGGTCTCCTGTGGTCGGCTCAAGATATTTGATAATGGTGGGAGAATCAAATCCAACATATATTCCCATCCTCCTTTGAGGTCCCATCTTAGTTCTCTGTGGTGGTGCAATGGGTACATAGACTGAACACCCAAATGTCTTAAGATGGGAAACGTCTGGCTCATGACCCGTTAGCAATTGGGATGGGGAATATCTATGCTCACTAGATGGCCGAATGCGTATTAGTTCAGCAGCGTGTAAAACTGCATGTCCCCAAGCTGAGACCGGAAGCTGCGACCTCATGAGTAATGGTCGAGCAATTAGTTGAATTCGTTTAATGAGGGATTCAGCTAATCCGTTCTGTGTATGGACATGTGCCACAGGATGTTCCACACTTACCCCCATGGCCATACAATAGTCATTAAACGCTTGGGAAGTGAATTCACCAGCATTATCTAAACGTATGGTCTTAAGAGGAAAATCTGGAAAATGGGCTCGCAATCTGATGATTTGGGCCAATAACCTAGCAAACGCTTGGTTCCTAGAGGACAATAGGCAAACATGCGACCAGCGGGTCGATGCATCGATTAAAACCATGAAGTACCGAAATGGTCCACAAGGTGGATGGATCGGGCCACATATGTCTCCTTGAATTCGTTCCAGAAAATGCAAGGTCTTTTTAGACACTTTGACTGGTGAAGGTCGAGTGATAAGCTTCCCCTGTGAACAGGCTATGCACGTGTGGTGCTTAGGGAAGACTCGGTTTTCTTTAAGGGTGTGCCCTTTAGAACTTTGAATTAATTTACGCATCATATTCGAACCGGGATGACCAAGCCGGTCGTGCCAAATAGTGTAATCTTTAAACCGTGCTTCAATAGCAACATTAGCCTCAATCATATTGACCTTAGCATAGTAAAGGCCAGTGGATAATGCGGGTATAGTCTCAATTACTTGTTTATGGCCGTGTGTAATTTTAGTAATCAGTAGGGATTCTTTGTTCCCCTCACCCTGAGTTTCAATGTGGAAACCATTTTGCCTTATATCTTTGAAACTCAATAGATTTCTCTTAGAACTGGGTGAGTATAGAGCATCTAGTATTTCTAGATGTGTGCCCTGAGATAACAACACATGGGCTTGGCCATGGCCTTCTATTAGGCTCGATGTACCCGCTATTGTGCTGATGTTTGCGGTTTTTAATGTGAGATTTATGAAGTAACCCTTGTCTTTCAATATGGTGTGGCTGGATCCACTATCCACCACAATGATATTCTTGTTCTCGTTCATAACTTCAATTGACAAGAGATGTGACTTAGATAAGTATATAAAGCAAAACCATTGCATTGATAATAAATGAAACATAACGAGTTCATCAAAATAAATGAAACATAACCAAATGAAATCTTCAAGTCTTAAAATAAATCAAAAACAAAAGCCAAAATCCATCAAAATAAAGCAAGTATCCAGATGTCGAATTTAATTATCTCCTTTCAGGAGGTCCGAGGTCTCGAAATCCATGAGATCGTCATTTTCATGGTTGAAGTCACCTTCATCATCGTGGTGAACCATATTAGATTCATCATCTTGGTGAACCATATTAGCTTCGGGATTCACTTTCCCATGTTTTTGATAAAGATCACGAAGGTACTTAGGAGTGCGACACGTCTTAGCCCAATGATTTGTCATTCCACACCGGAGGCAAGGTGAATGATTGGTCGAGCGGTTTGAGTGAGATGGTTTGGAGATTCCGCGACCTCTACCACGACCATAACTGAGGTTAGGTCGGTTGCCTCGGCCTGAATTACCGTGGAAATTTCCACGGCCATTGCCACGTCGACCTCGTCCATTTACACGACCATGGCCGGAGTTTCTGTCACGTTGGGCATAGTTGGATTCCTTTGTGTCTTTCACGGCTCCTTCAACTTGATGGGCCTCTGGTATCGGGGCTGATCCCGGGGGTCTTTGAGCACTGTTCCTCATTAGTAACTCATTATTCTTCTCGGCAAGAAGTAAACAAGAGATCAAATCCTCATATTTCGTGAATTTCATTGCACGGTATTGTTGCTGAAGCACAATGTTTTGAGTGTGAAAAGTTGACAATGTCTTTTCAAGTAGATCATTGTCAGACACTTCATCGCCACAAAGTTTCATGAGTGAAACGATCCGAAACAACTCGGAGTTGTAGGCGTCTACGGATTTGAAATCTAGAAACCTTAAGTTTTTCCAATCGAACTTGGCTTGGGGCAACAACACCGTTTTCTGGTGGTCATACCTCTTTTTCAATGCCACCCAAAGTTCAAGTGGATTCTCAAGCGTGAGATATTGATTCTTAAGGCTGTCGGCTAGGTGATGGCGTATATGAAAAATCGCCTGAAACCGATCTTTTGTAGATGCGGTATTACCATCAATGATGCATTCACCTAGCCCCTTTGAGTTTAGGAATATTTTAGTATCAAGGGCCCACTGGAGATAGTTATCTCCTGAGACATTGAGTGCCTCAAATTCGACCTTCTGGATGTTCGACATCTGAATCACACAAGCAAACATGTTCGGCATTTTTATGAGATTATAGAAGTATAATTAAATAGTTGATTATAACTCAGATAATAGCAGGCATGAGGCGAATATAATATAACTCATACTACGATCAATGCCAAGAAACAAATATTATGAAGCGTAACTAGTAATGCTCAGGAATAGTTGATTATAACTCAGATAATAGCAGGCATGAGGCGAATATAATATAACTCATACTACGATCAATGCCAAGAAACAAATATTATGAAGCGTAACTAGTAATGCTCAGGAATATCATACGACTCGTGTAATGAACCTATTACTATAATCAAATACTTTAACATGAACTCAAATCAACGGTTGATTAAAGACCAACTTAAATGAATGATTTTACAAACTTTTCGTCATACGATTAATGAGGGTTCATTGAATAAAAAAAAATGGCTGTTTGATTAATACATCAGGTAACGATATCGTATGGTTATTTTAATGATAATCAGATCTAATCTATCAAAAATAACTCGTATATCAAACGATTTGTCAAATCAAATAATAAAATATTAATCATGACAAAAACAATTCAGCTATAACGAGCGATCTTCGTAAAGCTTAAAGAAATAATTGTAAACTTGTAAAAGTGGGTCAAATTTAATACGAAGAAGTCAAAATTTTAAAACAATAATACAAGCGGCGAAAACATATCAATGTGCCATGACAATAATAACCAAAGAATCAAATATGGACTTCTTCTAATATAAATATATTAATGATTCTAGGCCATGAACGTAATAAACAGATCTCATGTGAATATTGCAGGCGGAAGTCAACGAGCTGGAAAATAATACTATCAACGAAGTGACAATAAAAACATCTTAATAAACTGTTAATGAATGGAAGTCAAACATGACTGCAAATATTGGATCTATTATCAGAGAGTGTTACGGTGATGAATAAAATACGTATGCATGATAATAAATAGATCTCTTATGTATGATTAAATAAATCAACGTAACACATGATTCAGTGATCGATGAAAAGTAAATATGCTTATCGATTATAAGAGGCGGCGTTACTTACCTTGATCGCAGTTGGTGATGGAAAGATTGGGAATAAGACGTGGTGGTGAGATCAGAAAATAAAGCGGCTCTACAAGATCAGGCGGCTAGGACTCGTCAAGTTTTGGGTTAGGGTTTTTTTTTTTTTTTTTTTTTTTTTTTTTTTTCGAGCTTATGTGCTGATAACGTGTTGTGAACTATCTGTTTCATTAATGGAATAGGGGATATATATACAAGGATAATAGAGGATAAGCTAAAACCCTAATGGGCCATGGGCCGGTTATGGAGTCCATCAATATAGTTTATAACAACTACTAGTTTTATCAAATTTTGTTCTGTTGAACGTAATTACAAAGCACAACTACTTTGCAAATCTACCAAATTATTTCCGTTTTAAATTGTTATAATTTTGTTTGTTTCAAACAGTATTTTGAAAGAAAAGAAGTGTGTTTGACCCAAAAAAAAAAAAAGAAAGAAAGAAAGTGAAGGATTTTTTTTTTTTTATGGACTCTCTCCTTAGTAGTATTATGTTATGCATTCTTGATTGACAAGTTCGGCATAAGAAAACAAGCATTAATTAGTCCACTTGTAAATATCCATTTCTTCGAACAAGATCATTATTGAATACAAACATATTCCCTCCGTATTTTATTAATTGTCGTTTTAGAATTTTTATTTTTTTGAATTGGATGTCGTTTTCAAATTTTTATGCAAATTTTTTTACTTTTTAATGTTTTATGATATCATAAAACATTAAAAAATAAAAAATTTTGCATAAAAATTTGAAAACGACATCTAATTTTTAAAAAAAGAAAATCCTAAAACGACAATTAATAAAATACGGAGGGAGTATATCTTTATTTATGTATAAAGATATTTTGTTGGGAAAAATTCGCTTATAAAAATATCTCGTCCGTTATTGAGTTATGAAATGAAATCTCCTAGATTGTTTGTTTGGCCAACGATCATATCCAACACTGATCGATCAATCTTGTGTTTTTTAGTTTTAGAGTTTAGAATATAAAAATTATTGTCGTCGGTTCCAAACGTTGTAGCATAATATAAATCAAGTATATTTATAAATTTTGTCGGCCATATTGATATTTGCAAATAAAAAATGGATGTATCTCTTAAGTTGAATGTAACTATGATTTGTTTTATTTCATATTTTTAATCGTTATTTTGAGGGTCGAATGTATAATCTAAACCTTAATATTAAATTTGATTTTTGTTTTACAAAAACGGTCGTTTGTAGTTTTAATGCACACTTTTAGACGATTTCAATTTTGTCATATTTCTTAAGTGTATTAATAGAAAAAGAAAACTATATGGTACACTAATTAATAAATAGTTTAATATAAGCTATAATAATTTTTTTATAAGGTGAAATTTCAGCAGAAAGTATATGCAAGTGTTTATTTACATATGCCTGCTTTATTCTTGTAAATTGCAGATTACATTGTTTATTGAACATAGTAGATTTTGTATGAGAATATTTTTCCCACTATAATATAACTATGTTATTCAAAAATTAGGAGGATAAGAAAATAGTAAAGAAGCAATTAATAAGAATCTGTCTGAATTCTAATTATGAATCATCATAACGTGTTTAAAAAACTCGCAACAAAGTCAGCTAGTCCGATTGAATAACAGATCTTAATCAAAACGCGAATATACTGTATCTAGTTTTATATATCCATCATAAAAGTATATAATTGTATTTGAACAATATTCCAGATATTGTTGTCCATATTATATTTCCCAAGCACATGCGGAGAAATAAGAAGAAATAGTAGTAATCAACTTTTTTTCTTCTTTCAAGTTTCAACTTTTTTTTTGTCAACATCATCTATAAAATTTATGCAAACTATTCTCATTTGACTAGAGTATAATTCCTTTATTTTACCGCTAATTGACAGCTTGTATTAAGTTTACCCAAAAAAAAATTCTTGTTTTGTTTTGTTATAGAAATGAAAATAATTATCGTGAAAGCAATTTCCACCCAATCAAGACAAGGGGTTGACCCCAGTGACACCTTCTCCTAGCAATCATGAATCATCTCTTCGCCAGCCCGATAACTTCGAGTTTCTTTTTTGTTCTTAATTTAGAATATCGGTACGATATCGAGTTACATATCGATTAACAGAACCGGAACCGGAAGTTCGGTTCTGTACCCGGTAAACTTAGCAAGGTCCTAATCATTCAATTTCTACAGTTCAAGTTTTTGTTAGATTATAAATTTATAGGTATTATTCTCGATCATTTAGAAATGACATCTATTGTTAGCTGGTGATTGTCCTTTTTATTTTATTTTTATATTCACGATCTATTACTTAAATAGTGATTTTATCATTCACAAAAATAATAAACGGTTTTATTTTTCTTACATACACGATAAATAATTTTACCTTACATGAAACATATAACATGATGTAGAAGCATTAAATAAAACTATGGTCAAACTGAAAATGCCTTCAACAGAATATATATATTGTGGTTGTCTTTGAAATTTAAAATATAGGGATTATTATTACAACTCAACTGTTATCAGGAAAAATATATCTTTTTTGATTCATCTAAAATTTTCATCAATTAATACTTAAATTGTTTCTGGTTCAAATTATTTAATCATAAATTATAATATATATATATATATATATATATTTGTCAACGAATTTTATGATGTAAGTAGTAACAATATTTTTGCCTATTTTATTTTGAAAATATTACATACACAAATCGTGTTCACCAGGTGGATTACTTCTCAGCCGTCAATTACAAGTTACAACATAATTTACACATCTCATGTGAAAATAGTCAAATTCAACAAACTTTCTGATCTGGTAAAAGCCAACCTGAACCAAATATCGGTACACAATTGAACCAGTAAAAATCGGTTTTTGACATTGACACGGTTAAACCGTTTCTCTTAGCTCCTCTCGAGATTCTCTTTCTGCTAAGCGAAAACCAGACGACAGAAAAGCTAACAACACAAGAGGAGGAGAGAAACTCAATAACGAACAAGATTCTTTAATCTAATCTCGTGCTTCCAATTCAAATTATTTTGTCTCCTTAGCGGATCGATCGCAGATTATCAAGCTCCGCCGTCGCCTCCGCCGCAATCGACGGCGGTGTCTACGTCGCTTTCGTTTCATGCGTAACAGGAGGAGCAGCAGCAGAAGAAGTCAGCTTAAGTAACGCCGCCTTTGATTTGACTTGAGGTCAGCGTTGTTTCTTCTCCCAGATTTGTTTTTTTTTTTCCCTTTCGAATTTGTTTCCGTAATGGTAAAATTATCAGGTTTCTTTTTCTCCTCCTAATTTCTGCGTTGTTAAATTTTCCATAGTCGGGAGGTTTTTTTTTTCCGTTTTTTCAAATCTGATTGAGAGATATGGTGATGATCAATTTGTGTGGTGTAGAAAAACTTTTGAGAGCAAATCTGAATGCGTGTCTGGGAATTATTGGGATAGATCGAATCCTTTAGTTATTTATCATGGAGAACGAATGCGGAAACCATGGATTGTGAAATTGGTATCAATTCAATTGTACATTTGCAGGATTTAGGGAACTTTAATGCTTGTGTCCCAAAAGAAGATGTTTCTGAGTTTATAGGCTTTCGGATTTCGGGATTCCGCTGTGTTGTCAATTTTAATCATATGAAGAAGACTTGGTCGTCATTTTTTACTGGAATTGCTCTGTTTGCGCAGATAAGTTTGTTGGTGATATGGCATTGATGATGTTTCCGTATTTGCTCGGCGTTGAAGAAAAGTAAAATGCTGGCGAATTGGAAGAAACCACCCACAGATTGATGCTCTCTTCAGTCGACCTCTTTTGTATATTTATTGAAACTTACGGGGTCGAAGGTGTGTAGCATATGCTTTAAGAAGATAAAAAAGTGAAAATTATGGAATCGGGTTCAGAGAAAAAGTTTCCTCTCAATGCAAAAGACTACAAGTTATATGAAGAAATTGGAGATGGTGTCAGTGCGACAGTGCACAGAGCTTTGTGCATACCGCTTAATGTGGTAGTTGCTATCAAGGTTCTTGATCTGGAAAAGTGCAACAACGATTTGGTAGGAACTCTTATTCATTCTTATTCTGAACTACGAAAGAACAGCTTTCTTATTCCTAGTTTCTAGCTGTCGTTGCCAGTGTACTTTTCTGGGGTTACTTATTGAAGATAGAGTTTTAGTTTTCTCTTCTTTTTGTTTTCCTGCTTCATGCTTTACTAAGTGCGAGTCCAATTGTAGTTCAATTGTCTTCGAAATTAGAGAACTTCAAATTAACCTGTCAAATTTTAGTTGCATGTTTCGATCTTATCTTCTCTTTTTATATTTTTATGTTAAAGTTGTACGAGCTTAAGCTAGAGGTAAAGAATTAGACGCAGTTGTGAACACCATGGATTTTTTGTTGTCTTTGTGAATCCGAATGAATAGGAACTGAATTGCTTGTAGGATGGGATCCGGAGAGAGGTGCAAACAATGAGTCTGATCAACCATCCAAATGTGTTGCAAGCTCATTGCTCATTTACCGCCGGACACCAGCTTTGGGTTGTGATGCCTTACATGGCTGGAGGATCCTGTCTCCATATAATAAAGTCTTCATATCCAGATGGATTCGAGGAACCTGTTATCGCTACTTTACTTCGTGAGACTCTGAAAGCTCTTGTATATCTTCATGCTCATGGGCATATCCACAGGGATGTAAAGGTATATGCTTGCAAAATCTCCCTTTAGTATAGTACTTTCCTCAATTATCCCTGGACCGTTTTGGTTTATTGCCCTCCCCTATTGAGTGGTGGGAATGTGTTATCATTTTTATCAATACATATGGCTTCCTTTGCAGGCTGGAAACATTTTATTGGATTCCAATGGTGCCGTTAAGTTGGCAGACTTTGGAGTATCAGCTTGCATGTTTGATACGGGAGATAGACAACGTTCCAGAAATACATTTGTTGGGACTCCATGCTGGTACTTTTTCAGCTTTAGTAATGCCATGTTCTGTGGGTATATGCAGATACATCTTAGACAGAATTTCTGATTAATGCTTGTTTCTGCACAGGATGGCTCCTGAAGTCATGCAGCAACTACATGGATATGATTTCAAGTAAGCTGATGCTAATAAATTCTAAATTCTGCATTTACACTAAAAGATTACTTCCCCACCATGTTATGCAGGTGTTTTGTCTGATATAATTTCCTGTCACAGAGCAGATGTATGGTCATTTGGAATAACAGCACTTGAACTGGCACATGGTCATGCCCCATTTTCTAAATATCCGCCAATGAAGGTAAAGTTATGATGATGTAATTTGATTTGTATTGATCTTCACTGCTCTCTGCTACTCAATTTGTGTATTTTCTTTTTCTGGTAATCACTGGTAGGTTTTGCTGATGACCTTACAAAATGCACCTCCTGGACTTGACTACGAGAGAGACAAAAGATTCTCGAAAGTGCGTGAGTGGTCACAATTTGGTTGTATCATATAGCTTGTTGTGTTTTTTTCTCTACCTTAATGGTTGTCTTCCCTTAACAGGCCTTCAAGGAAATGGTGGGTACATGCCTGGTGAAGGACCCAAAGAAGCGTCCAACTTCAGAAAAGCTATTAAAGCACCCTTTCTTCAAACATGCACGTCCAGCTGATTACCTGGTTAAAACAATTCTAAATGGTCTTCCTCCATTAGGTGATCGCTATAGACAAATAAAGGTCTTTGGCCCATCCTCTTAAACTTATTCTGTCTCTTGCTGGGAAGGAAATTGCTGGAAACGCTTAATTTATATGTGAATTCTTTCTTTCAGTCAAAGGAAGCTGATCTCCTAATGCAAAACAAATCTGAATATGAAGCGCACTTATCACAGGCAAGGATTAGGAAACAAAGATTTCATCCTTCTGCTTGACAATATTCTGCAATATGTCTTTAAGCTGCTAATTTTGTAGCCTGAGATTTGCAAGAACATCTTCTGGTGTTTAAGTTTGATTGTGTTTGAATTCTTTTTACATCCAACTCAGACTTCCTGTTTCTCTGCAGCAAGAATACATAAGGGGAATAAGCGCTTGGAATTTCAATCTCGAGGACCTAAAAACTCAAGCTGCCCTTGTAAGTTAATAGTTTTTCTAATTTAGTTAATTATACAGGGTAGTCACTAATATTGTTAGCCTTGTAGATTTCAGATGATGATACTTCACATGCTGAAGAGCCTGATTTCAACCAAAAGCAATGTGAAAGACAGGATGAATCTGCTCTTTCCCCTGAAAGGGCTAGCAGCTCAGCAACAGCTCCTAGTCAAGATGTATTATTTGAAACGATTCTCTATACTCTTATCTGCCTGCTTTTGGGAATCCTTATAAAATCTTAAGTGTGATCTTGTCAACTCAACATGTCTTTCTTTGTTTTTTTTTTCTTTTCAGGACGAACTGAACGATATTCATGATTTAGAGAGTTCTTTCGCCTCATTTCCAATCAAACCTCTTCAAGCACTCAAGTACATCACATTCTTCAAATCTCCATTATCTAACTCCTACATATCTGGATTCTGGATTATATCGTATTGAAATTGTAAATGTTTCTGATCTTTAAAAAAAGGATTGAACTTTGTGTTACCTGTGCTATGATGCAGAGGCTGCTTTGATATCAGTGAGGACGAGGATAATGCAACTACTCCTGATTGGAAAGATGCAAATTTAAATTCTGGACAACAGCATTTAACAAAGGCTTCCATTGGATCTCTGGCTGATACCACAAAAGAAGAAGACACTGCAGCACAAAACACTTCTTTACCACGTCATGTCATTTCCGAACAGAAAAAATATTTGAGCGGTTCAATTATACCAGAGAGTACTTTCTCTCCAAAAAGAATCACATCTGAGGCTGACAGGTTAGCATTCTCAGTACTTTATTTTAGTGTTTCAACCTATCTTAACATACTTCATTCACGTTGAAGCTCTTACTCTATGCATCTGAATAATGAGTTAATTTTAAAAGCACCTGACTGATTTCTGCAGGGAGTTTCAACAGCGTAGATATCAAACAGAGCGGAGCTACAGCGGATCATTGTATCGCACAAAAAGGGATTCTGGTAAACCCCCACCTACTCATTAGTCTACATGTAGTTTGTATAGAGCGTTCAATTCAAATACGTTTTTATGTAGTGGACGAGACGTCAGAAGTCCCGCATGTGGAGCACAAGGGACGGTTTAAGGTTACATCAGCAGATCTAAGTCCCAAGGTATGACAAGTACCGTAGTCTATAGCCTTCATTTGCTTACTAATCTTCATTGAAGCTATATGGTCTTTCCATAGAAATGATAGATACATGAAAGGGCAGTATGTGGAATAGTTCTAATTGTGTTTATGAAATCTGAAGATGTGTTTCTGCTTTTGGTACAATCAGGGATCTACAAACTCTACATTCACACCATTTAGTGGTGGTTCAAGCAGCCCGAGTTCCCTCAATGCGACAACCGCCTCAATCCTTCCATCAATTCAGTCGATTTTGCAGCAAAACGCCATGCAACGGGTATATTTTAAAACCAGAAGGAAAATTACTTTAAAGTCGTTAGTTAAATACTCTTCTCTTGGCAGGAAGAGATTTTGAGACTAATCAAATACGTGGAGCAAACCTCTGGTACTATAATCCTCTTCCGCCTATAGATTGGTTCTGTAGTATTTGCCTTTTTATTAAAGAACTCAACCAAAATTTTCTGATTTTGCACTTTTTGGTCCCATTTCATAGCCAAGCAGCCTGGATCCCCCGAGACAAATGTCGATGAGCTACTGCAGGTAAATGAAGAAGGAAAAAAAATTCATCGAATCAAATGGTAATCATCTCCAATCTTCGAGTATCCACTAACCTGAAATTGATATCATCTTTATGTAGACACCTCCTGCAACGCCACGAGAGAGAGAACTTCAGTCCCAAGTGATGCTACTACAACAAAGGTATATCCATCTCTTTCTTTCACCAAGATCCTGATTACTAATCATGAAATGTCTCAACGTTATTATTGCGAACCAACGTAACCAAGCTAAAACGCATCTTGTTCTTACTTAACGTCAACATTGAATTACATGTTTTCTTTTCATCTTTGATCTTAAAGCTTTTCGAGCCTAACAGAAGAACTAAAGAAACAGAAGCAGAAAAATGGGCAGGTTTGTCTTTTCTCTTATGAGATAATGAGTGAACTTCATTTACTATCAATTGCTTTTGTGATAGGATCTTATAAACATTTACACAGTACCAATAGATGTTGAGATACAAGCCTTCACATTTGCATCATATGCATCTTTTTCTTATAATCTGCAGTTGGAGAATCAGTTGAACGCATTAACACACAGAAATGATTGAGTCTCAAAAGCCATCGAGACAACAAACTACAGGCTCAGATATATGAAACTGGGAATCTTGAGTAAAAACACAAAATTTCCCTTTCAACGCAAAAGAATGAAGAGAGAAGATTTGTGTGTTTTATATTTTTATTCCGTGTAATTTATTTGACAGGTTTGTATTATGTGACAAACTACTACAAATGTTTTTCTTCTTTTTGGGGAGGTTCTTCCCAGTGTTCCTTTACTTATGTGTGATTTATGATGTGCTAAGAAAACAAGATACTATTATTTTCTTTGTTTAATTATGTTCCTGTGTGAAAAAATGTTTAATTGTGGTTAACTTTCTATCTCAAAAACAATGTTATCTGTATTAACAAGAAAAGATTCCACAACTCCTTATTCATTATTTCAACCAAGAACAAAATATAAGACAAATTTTCGTTATCCTTTAACTGGACAACAATATGTATTACCAAAGGCGATTCTCAATCACCGTCGCTACTATTTCCTTCAATGTCTCCTACAAAAAGAACACATATAGTCTATAAGTATCATCGGTTTCTTGCAGACTTTTCCAGATTCAGATAAATGTTTCTAATAAAATGTAAGAGTACCGAAGAATGATCTTTGAGACCAAGTGAGAGAACCAGAGGCTTCGAGGGAACAATAGAACTGAAGAATTCAAAAGAGATTGCATCACTATAACAGTTTGATCACTTTCTAGTGTTCCATCTTAATCAGACAAAAGAAAAAGAAAAAATGGAGGAGAAAGAACAAGATTCAAATTGAAGGTGAGAGAGAGACCTTATGTGTTCAATGAGTCTTCGAGCAGTTGCTGTCAGCATTGGCTTCAAGAAACATAAATTTTCAGTAAACTTTTGTAGGAATTAGCTATATGAAATTATGAATGTACCACGATAAGTAAGATATTTACCTCGTCTCGCTTTCCAAATATCACTGAAACACTAAATGTTGGTTCAACTGACATGCCCTCTTCCTTCCTGTCAACAAAGAAACACTCGTTTTAAACATATATATAACTCGGATCGTCTTAAGCAATATAGATTACCGCTAAAGCGATAGACCAAACAAAGCAAGAACAAGCAATTTCATTCCTCAAGAATATCTTAGAAGCATGAACAATAACTAATTATATCACCACAAACTAGTTCAACAGAGACCACCAGTTGGGGCACAAACACAATTTTAGGTTTACTGAGACAGAATAAATCAAGAACAATCAAGATCATTCCTCTAGAAAAAGCACAGACAAGAACATCGTTAGGCATAACTCCCCAATTAAAAACAAAACAGAAGAATGATGAACAGTATCATAAATATATTATCAGAGACCTTGCGTGCAATATAGTTCCCATGGCTCCAATCTGTGTTGCTATGACCTGAAACAAAGTTATGTTGAGGTTCAGAGAGACAAAACTATGACTTCAAACATCATAACGAAGTAATCTCTAACACAAACACGGATACTCACAAGGATATGATCTTCATAGCTGCAAATCACAATCTCTGTCTTGTTTCCCTTTCAAACAAACACTAGAAATTACTCGATCTGGATGATCTTTCACAACACTAAAATTGTTTCATACAGTAGAATTTTCTACAGATATCAAAATCAAAGCAAAGTAGACTTTATTTGATCAAATAAACACCAATAAAACGAACATCTTCTATTAAGAATCGAGCAAAATCCCATGAAAAATTATTCGATAGATTTTCAAATCACCTTGCTTTCAAAGGAGATATTTCTATGGCGCACAGGAAAATTAGTGTCCAAGCTTTCCATTCTCAGTCTTTGCTTACTCTCTCTTATGCTTCTTCTTCCTACTTTTACCTCAGAACTCGACGAGAAGAAGCCGGAACGCGTTCGTCTGATCGTCTCTGGTCAAAACGGCATCGTTCGGGGAAAAGCTCACTATTAAACCTACTAAAGAAGTCCATTTACAGTTGATAAAAAGCCCATTAATAGAAAAACCCCATGAAATACTGGTTTTGACTTTTGAGTTAGGAAACGAATTACAAGTTTTTTTTTTAAAAGGCGAATAGGAGTTTCGACTTTCCAACGTGGGAACAAAAATGTGGCTACAATAAATAAAGGAAAAATGTTTATCTGCTACACGAACGAGACGTCATCACATCGTCACACATGCAGACTTTAAAAATGTTTCGTTAGCTACACGAATTATTGTTATCACATACAGACATCCCCGAACTAACATAAATCATGTTGCAAACACCATAACCATCTAATTCCAGTGTACCGGTTGCCGGAATCCGGCGTTGACCAGCGTTGACCGACATTGACCGGCGTTGACCAAAAATATTTTAATTTTTTTTTTCTTTTTATTTATTTTTGATAAAAAAAATAAATTTGAAAAAAAATAAATTATTATGTAATTTTACTTAAAAATATAACAAAATATAGCAAAAATAAATATACCATTAAAAAATTATACAACAAATTTTTTCTATATATTTTGGTAATATAACTAAATATACTGAAAAAATAGACCATAATATTTTTCTTGTGCTATATTTTGTAATATAATTTGTGTAATATGAATTTATAAATTTTTTGTAATATAACTAAATATACAAAAAAAATAGACCATAATTTTTTTCTTGTGCTATATTTTTTTCATGTGCTATATTTTGTTACAAAATATACCTTTTCCTTTTGGCAATCATTTTCTTATAAATTCAAATGTTGGTTTTATTTTTAAAAACAAAATATATCTTTTTCTTTTGAAAAAATATATGACCTTTGATATATATATATATAATATGTAATTGAAACTTGAAAGTATATATATATATATATATATATATATATATATCTTTGTAAACACCACAAATCAAAGCATATATTATGGTGTTTATAAATTAAAGAGAAATAATTTGAGTGTTTTTGTTTGGATTTAAGTTTGTTTGCCTCTATACTTAGGTTTTGGTTTCGATTCCTTTCGATTTTGGTTTAAAAATTCATGTCTTGTATTGTGTTCATGTTTCTCTTGTTTAGGGCTTAGACTCCGGAGAATTATCGTTTTCTTCTGGCTTAGTTTCTGGAGACTTTTCTGTTGTCCGCCGGCTTAGTTTCCCTTTTTTGGGCGTTGTATTTTACCTTGGTTCTTCAACAAGTTTCAATAATAAAATTTCAGATGACAAAAAAAAAAAAAATTAAAGAGAAATAATAGAAAAAATGAATTTATATACTTTTATTTTGTTAATATAGCAAAATATACATTTTCCTTTTGGCAATCATTTTTTTACCACAAAAAATATTTTTTTCTTTTCGGTTGTTTGAATATTATTTTGTGGTAAAAAAAGAAAAAAAAAAAATTGAAAATTTTTTTGGTCAACGCCGGTCAACATCGGTCAACGTCAGTCAACGTGGTCAACGCCATATTCCGGCAACCAGTACACTGGAATTAGATGGTTATGGTGTTTGCAACATGACTATCGTTAGTTCGGGGATGTCCGTATGTGATAACAATAGTTTGTGTAGCTAACGAGACATTTTTAAAGTCTGCATGTGTGATGATGTGATGACGTCTCGTTCGTGTAGCTGATAAACATTTTTCCATAAATAAATAGCCGTAAAAAAAAATTAGAAACCGAAAATTACGACTTTGATATGAAACACAAAATATGCATGTTTCGCATGTGACTGAATGAGAGACGACACAGACCATTAAGAGCCAATTATTAGTGTACTATTAAATAATTGGTATTTCTGTTGAAAATCGGACATTTTCGCAGCCGGACCAAACCAACCAGGTGGCTCGGCGATCAAAACCACAACCAACCAGAAGTTTCCACGTAAGCTCAATTATTTAACTTCCGAAACAGGCCCGTTACTTTAGTGACGCACCATCAACTAACCATCTCAATGTCTGAAAATAAGGCAAAGGTACGGTAGAGGCCCGTGCGTGCCTACTGGTCATTCAACACGTGCTTGTCCTAATCTTCGCGTTTTCCCTCTCAGCCGAGCCGTTTTAGCCCGATCTCTATCGCCACATCAATGTTTTTATTTTTTTTATTTTGATAAAGGTGCAAATTTATCTAATGTTTTTTCCTATGCAAAATAACAACATACCATATGATACAATTATATACATATTTTGTAACCTTCAAATCTTAGGATATACTACCAATTATTCGTAATATTTTCCGTTACTAGCAATCATAATTTGTCAATCCACATGTTATCTAATAGTCACAACTCACAAGTATGTGAAATTGTAATTTGTTGCAGCATTATACTTTCTTTAAAAAAACGTCATTGCATCATTATTAATCTACGATTTCACTATTTTCGTTAATAAAAATAAAATATAATCGATAGTGTCATTTTACAAATTTACAGGTAAGTAACAATTTTTATATTAAACGAATCATTTATTTTTTAGCTTTCAAGATTCTAACTATATATTCCAAAGTGTTCTTGATTATAACCCTAATACCGTCAATATTCAATCATTATAAGAATTGTACATGTCTCTATTAAAATATATATATTTAATTATGCTACGCAGAGAATATATTTTTGGGTAAGTCATATTTGTACATATTGATATGACAATGTTCGTCAAACAAAAACAAATGCGATAGTGTTTGACCATTATTCTCTAAATTGTACTGACTTGTAACTTCGTGGTGAGATCATATGTTAAGTTGGCCCAAAAGCATTTGCAAATTTGACCACTATTATCTGCAACTTCATTTTTTCCACTCGTTAATTATTTGACCAAAAGTGGGCTTAATAAGCTGACGCTTACGAGTTACGAATTTACGATAGTTAACTAATATTAATCTCTGAATAATAAATATATAGATTGTATTAGTGTATAGTAAAAAAAGCATACGAAATCGATATTAAAATGTTTCATTCAATTCCCTATACGGATCATATTGTGGATAATCTTTAAATATTCTCAAATGTCATATATATATTCATTGCTATTGTCAGTGGCGGTATTAGGTTTACTTAAGATGTCATCAAATAACAATTAATTTCCTTATAATAATAGTGAAGCTTATCATGGAATAGCTTTAATGATTTCCTGAGTAGTAGATTTTGCCTTTTTCTTTTTGGCCTTACGAGACCTTCTATGCAAGACTGCAAGAGTAATAGATTAGACTTTTTCAATTTAAAGAAATACTAACCCATAAAGCAATAGGAGTTGGTGACGAGACGATGTGTTGCACCATTAATTTACTTACGTTTAAAAACAAGAACTACAATGTTGAAAACATGAGCATTTTGTACGATTTGACATTTTTGGAAGTTTATTAATTAGTGTCTTCAATTTTTTTCTATTCGTTTTATGATAAACAAGTGGACCAGCTACACGAACTATACGCCAACACATCACCACACATGCAGACTATTTTAATGTTTCGCTAACTACACGAACTATTGATATTACATACGGACATCCCCGAACTATCATCGGTTATATGTGCAACACCATAACCATTATTTCCAAATAATATAAATGTCTTGTTAACTACTTTTTTTTTAAAAAAATGTGATGGAAAATACTTCGTGTAGTTGACAAAAAAAAAAACTTCGTGTAGTTAACAAGACATTTATATTATCTGAAAATGATGGTTATGGAGTTGCACACATAACCGATGATAGTTCGGTGATGTCTGTATGTAATACCAATAGTTCGTTAGTTAGCGAGACATTAAAATAGTCTGCATGTGTGGTGATGTGTTAGCGTATAATTCGTGTAGCTGGCAATGATTTTTCCTAACCAAGTTTATGTCTAGTATATAAATTTTAACAATATACAATTATGCACGCATTAAATCATATATTGTATGTGTAGATACTTTATAGGTAAATGCTAATATATATGCATCTATATATACATTTTTGGATCACAATTAGCAAATAAATCCTGAAGTTGAGAAGTATTTACAATGGCATGCCATTAGCATTAATTATTTAGATTTATTTTATTTAAGTAAAGATTGTTAAATGAAATTCATTTCTCATTATTTAGCAAAAGTTTGTACAAAATCTTTCCTTATCTATTTAAGTAAAGATTTTGAAATCAAATATGTTCTCAACAATTTACCAAAAATCTCTACACAATCTTTTTAAAAATCTCGACTTAGTTAACTTCTGATTTTTATCTGCAAAAAAGAAAAAAATTAATAGTAACGAGTGATGTAAAAATCAGGAATATTGATATTACAATTTCTTCTACTTTTTTTTTTTTTCATATAATGAAAATTATTTTTAGGGATACTTTCTCAAAACCTCTAAATAAAACAAAAGGTTTCAAAAGATAGCTTCTCTTTTGGCGGGTCGACACGCAAACCCGCAACTCTCCACGGGCTTATCCGCATGAACCTGCGACCCGTAGTGGATAAAAATATTATTCAAAAAAAATAAAAAATGATGTTTAATTTTACGGGACGGGGTTATATGGTGCAACGGGTTTAGATCGATATTAATATTAAACAATATACTATGGATGAAATCTTAGAATTTAAAATCAAAATTTAATTATAAAATCAGAAACACTAAACAAAATAAACAATATTAACAAAACAAATTCAACTTAAAATTTTGCTAAATAATTTTTAGTTATAAAAAAATTGACCCGCGGTGTACCGCGGGGTAAAATCTAGTATTTGTTATTTGTAAGTCACACAATATTCAAATGCGTGGATTGTCAAACACCTATTCCCTATGTGTATAAACAAAATATATTCCTTTATACATTCCATAGTTATTTATTAGTAGGTAGTTCATAGCATAGAAAATGAAAATAAAAGATTTTTTTTAAATATGCTGAGAAGTAAAAAAATTATTAAAAAGTGAGGAGAACAACAACTATATGAAAAAGGAATGGGAGGAAAAACAATGCATGTGAGTGGTTATGTGTGAAAAAATTTCGTTTTGTTTCTTATTTATTCACGTCTAGTCCACCCAAATTACACTCCATCAGAAAAATAACGGGTCAATACTCGATAGTACAAAAAAAAGAAAAAAACACGTTTTGACGTTAAAACAGTACAAGTAACAGTTTACCCAAATATATTTAGTTAAGTCTTTGTCTTCTTAACTAATCCAGTTAGCCGTCGTATTATCAGGGGTCAACTAGTTTGACCGCATGACCGGTTTGGACCGAAACCACGTACATTCAAAATAACCAGTCATGTAATACGGCAGCTCGATTTTAATTAAAGCCAATATATCATTAAATTAATTTAATTTACTATGTAATCTGTAACAAATCTGACTTTGTTTGTAATTACACGATTTTTTTTTTAAAAAACCTTCTATTTCAGATATATATGTAGTAGTATCGTGTTTACTACACTACGTACATAAAAATAAAAAATAAAAATAAAGAGACTAAATAACATAATTTAGTTCTCACTTTGATGACACTTATCATAGGCAGTGTTCAAGAAAGCGCTAGGCGCTAAGCGGGCGGTGACCCAGTGCCTAGCGCCTAGAACGCCTAATCGGGGCCTAGACGATTTTTTAGGCGGTTTAGACGTTTATAACATAAAACATTATCAATATGATATTATATATAAAAGTTATATAAAATATCTATATAAAACTAAAAATTATGAAATTATAAATAAAAATTAGATAAAATATTTATTTATATTTATATTAAACAATATATGAATATTTATAACTATATATATAAATAAAACTCTAATTGAAATTGAAAAAATACATTAAACAAGATCTATGTAATTTTAGGCGGTCAAGGCGGTTATCTAGGCGTCGCATGAAAGCTTAGCGCCTAGTCGGGGCCTAGGCGACCGCCTAGACCGCTTTTTAGAACACTGATCATAGGTGATGTAAAAGATATCAAATTTTTGTAACAATAAAAACGTATATATATAGTGTTTTTTATAGGTAAAAATAATAAATATACACCGTAGATGGGATCGTACGTATATACTATAATAAGAAGCCGAGCCGAGCCGATAAAGCTGATTTTCGATTACACTTGTTTTTCTTCGAAAAATGAGAGACTCTTTAGCATTCTCGTGTCATGTGTAACGGCCTCTGTTTCTTTCTCTCTATAAATATCTTCTTCCTCATTTCTCAATCCTCTGTGTATCTCTCTCTACCGACTCTGAACCTATAGAGCCAACGAAACAAGAAGATTCAGAGGACAGTGAACAAAGAAGAGTAATTCTCAACTCCTTCATTCATTTGTTCATTTGTTGATTCTTTACTCCGACTATGAGGATTGTACGTGCGACGGAGACGTTCTCGGCGGAGCTCAAGGAGTTCATGTGCGCCGCTGTGCAAAGGAGGAGAGACGATGACGGATTTAGAGGCTCTCGTGGTGGTGGTAAATCAAGAAATGCCATGGATCTGGATTCTGACTCCGGAAACAGATTGGTTTGTGTAACTGGTGGTGTTTCTTATCTTGGTCGTGCCATCGTTAAACGTCTTCTTGTTCATGGATACTCCGTTAGAATCGTCGTTGATTGTCCAGGTAATTTTGGTCGCTACTGTTTTAAACTTTTAATTATTGGAAAGATTTTTGGAAAATAATCTTTATTTTGATTCATTTTATATGTTACGTTGTTTCCTTCCTTGCTAATTATTGATTAACGTTGAAATCCATAAATTAGTACACACATATTTTGAGAAATTAATGCTTGGATTCTGGAGTTAGTACTAATCTAATTTTTTTTCTTTTTTTTTGGTGGGGTAAATTGCAAAGTCTTTTGTTTATGTGATTCGAATATTTGTTACAGAAAAGGTCTAATATAGTTAAGAGTTTTTGAGGATTTATGTTTGATTTTTTTCTTTCTCCAACTCTGAAAATGCAGAGGACAAAGAGAAAGTGAGCGAAATGGAAGCCGACGCTGAAACGGCGTCGTTTAGCAACAGGATTACTTCAGTGGTTTCTCGATTAACAGAGATCGAGAGTTTGCTTAAGGCGTTTGATGGTTGTGCTGGGGTTTTCCACACTTCTGCGTTTGTTGATCCTGCTGGAGTCTCTGGATATTCGGTATGTTTCATTTTTATCTTCCTCTATACAATGTGTTTGTGTGTGCATAACAATGGAGATACGTTTCATAAATTCCTACGAAGGCATACATCACATTTAATGTACATGAACATGACTAGTTAGTTACATTCTAATACTAATAAACTCGTACTAGTGAATTTGTATAATAAACATGGAAGAATTACTTATACTTTCTGCTGAATCAAATGACTTTTTTTTTTTCGTTATGGTCAAACAAAATTTAGTGGCGTACGTGTCGGGGTGTGAATATGAGACTGTGTAGCTTATAGATATGTCAAATTAAGATAATATTTTAATTTCCTTCAGAATTTTTTCTGTCCCTAGTTTTGTTTCTAGAATATCTTTTAGTGGCTCTGCTTTTCGTTAAGAAAGTGGTTATGAGTTGAGGTTGGTTCTTAGTAAGTAAGTTAGCTTAATTTTCTACCATAAATTTCAATGCCCTTAAAATCTTTAGTACATCTTTTTGTCTCCTTGCTTCGTTTGTGTTTTCTCCTTTTGTTGACAAAAAAAAAAATCTTCCTCACCCAAATGACATTGAAAGAGTTGATAGCTCTTCACAACCAAAATAATAAATAGAGTTGATAGCTCTTGCATTGTGACATTTCAACACTTTTTGGAATAGATTGAAAATATTTTACTTTATTTGAAGATTTGGTTGATTTCTTTTCTGTTGTTAACAATTGACTAATTCATCATCAACCACCTGATCCAGAAAGAGAGAGTCATCATATAGTAATTAATTAGCATTATGAATTTTATACACTTTTAGATTGATAGGTTTATTTATCTTATAGAGTAACTGCATGTGAACTACCTTAGAAAGCTTGTCTACCTACTGACAGGGACAACTATCTACATAAGGGTTTTGTGTAAGTGTCTGATTACGATGTGAATCGTACCGATACACCTTTCTAACCCATGGCCACTATTTATTGGAACGTCTACGTACCAAAACCTTTGTTCCGTAAAAAACATATCACACATGTCATCATAAAATCAATAGCATAACTGGACCTACCAATTTGTGTAAGAGTACGTACTATCAAGAAGTTCATTTTTTTTGGTTTTTACTTTTACAACCTGTCATAATTACTCGTTCTAACAAAAATTTATAGTACGGTTTATGAAGTGTAACCCATTTTCATTGTTGTGTTTTGCAGAAATCAATGGCAGAATTAGAAGCAAAAGTGAGCGAGAATGTAATCGAAGCGTGTACAAGAACATCCTCAGTGAGAAAATGTGTCTTCACATCATCTCTCTTAGCCTGCACTTGGCAAAACAATACCTACAACAATCTTGATTACTCTGTTATCAACGAAGAAAGCTGGAGCGACGAACAACTCTGCATCGATAACAAGGTACAATTTGTTACATATCATAGTGTTCATACTAGCTCTAAGATTCTTCAAAAATTATATAAGACCATAATTAACATCCTTTATACTAAATTCACAGCTTTGGTATGCACTTGGAAAACTCAAAGCCGAGAAAGCTGCGTGGAGAATTGCGGATTCAAAAGGATTAAAGCTTGCAACTATATGTCCTGCTCTTATAACTGGTCCTGACTTCTTCAACCGTAACTCCACTTCAACCTTAGCTTATCTCAAAGGTAAATTTAGAACAAACCTTATAATGAATAATGAATATGAATCCAAAATTGAGAAACCGTCCAAGAATAATGTTATTATTATATAGATAGCTGCAAACAAATAGTATTAGCATATGTGTACGTAGTTCACGGGTGGTCCATTCTGATAAAGAGACAAAAGACAGCTAATAAGTGCTTGACTTTTTTTTTTTAAATTTACAATTGTTTACAAAAATGCAGGAGCAAAAGAGATGTATAGTAACGGATTATTAGCGACAATGGATGTGAACAAGTTGGCTAAAGCTCACGTATGTTTGTGGGAAGGTTTGGGTAATAAAACTGCGTTTGGTAGATACATTTGTTTCGACACCATTCTCTCTAGAGATGGTGCTGAAAAACTTGCTAAAGATATCGGTGTTCAAATCGAAAAGATTTGCGGTAACAACAACGATTCAGACGCAAACGCAGAAACAGATGCTTCTTTACAAATATCAGATAAAAAGCTTTTAGACCTTATGTCAAGAACTCTACGAAGTTGCTACCATGAAAGTTAGCTAGACACGACAAAAATTTTAAGGAGCAATTCTAAGCTGTTGACGTGGTGTTTTGCTCTTATTCTTTTCTTCTTTTTATAATTATGCTTTCTTCTTGTTTAATTTTCTTATAATGATAATCATTCATCAATATCAAATAAAAAAATGATAATCATTGTTATTTGTACGAATGTGGTTTGTGTGGAGGGAGGTTGTTGTAAAGGGCCGGTAGAGTTGGTATTCGTTGAAAATTTTTAAATTATTGGAAAAATTTATACTATTTTTTCCTATTTTGGATAACTAACAATAAGTCAATAACGAGCAAATAAAGACGATATACACAATAAGTAAATTTGTTTCTGGCCGGTGCAAAATGATTATCAAATTATATAAATTTATTTTCTTTTATTTGTGATCATCATCAAAAAGTATATACACATAGTATTTCTTTTTTTTCTGATAAATCAAACATTTTAATGATATGAATAAACGAGTTCGTCCAACACGCAACCGGTTCATGCCAACAAGCAAGCTGTTCGAACCAGGGACGTACAGTGAATGACACATGTCAACATATAGTTGGTGATAGTTAAAGAAAAAACAGCAGAACAAATGATTAACATGAAGAAGAGACTGATGTGTCTGCAGCCAGGCGGCGAAGCGAGTGAGTTACACTCTTTTCACTTCTTTTTTCCGTTTCAATAAGAAAAAAAGCATCTCAGTAGCTGACGTGGCGATCGGAGAGTCTAGTGCACGTGCAATGTGTTATGAAGACAAAGTCACGCCAAAGGGCAGCACCAGAGAGAAATAGGCGTGAACGACGCTGTCCTTTTTTTTAAGTTCAAACTCACGGAAAATCACAAAAAAAATAAAACACAAATAATAATTTTATAAGGTTACTAGAAAAATATTTTATGCAAATATTTGAAACTATATATAACGAACTTATATCAATTCTGCAATAACTCAACTCCTAAATGCAGCACTGAAATGTAGGAACTTTAATGTATATCATTTTCATGGCACTATTACCATTGTACTTACTTATATCCATCATTAAACGCAACCTGATCAAGTGCATACTCTAAGATACTTTTGGCTGCTTAGAAGTCACTCAAATTTATCAAATGAATAAATATTTCTGTTTTGGGTATTTGTTCTTTTTATTTAGCACTAGAAAAATATTGTGGAAATGCATGGAAAGCAACACAAATTGGGCCGAGTTCCCATGATTTGATTCTCTCTGTCTTCGGGACTCATCAAACACTAAGCTCCGATATTTCCTATAAATTCGTACAAAAACTTATTCTTATTGATTTTATATTACTGATAACTCTAACCGGTTACACCTATGTGAAACTATGAGGAAATATTGGTTACATGAACCAAGAAAAACATTTGAATTTACAAATTGTTTAACCAAAGAATTTTTTTATTTTTTTTGGATCATCACTGATCGACAACATTAGTGAAGAAATTTCAAAAGATGGGGCTGATTTCACAATTGGTGTCTTTTTAACAAAAATGTCAAACAACGTCTTTAACAAAAAACAAATTCAAAAAATAATTATGAATAGATAGAAGTATATATCGACCCCTAAGTATCGTCTACACTACAGTCTATAGGACTACAGTTTTGAAATGTAATGGCAGCTCAATTTTCAACCCTCATGTTGTGGAGGGCCTCGATGCCATTATATATATGCTAATTGAATTATTAAGCTAAAATTAATTTAAGATATAACATTATATGCTAAAAATAAGATATATGAGTATTTTAAAATCGGATCATATATAATCGTTTGTATACACGGCGTAACGAGAGAGCTAGTTTAAAGAGGTTAAAAAAAAACAAAAAGGTTACATGCATCCGATTCCGAACTTTACTAGCAGCCTAGCAGAGTAGCAGGTTATAGTTACAACTTTACATTTTACCATCGTAACACCAATTAAAGTCGGAAAGTACATGCTGTATTTCTTAGGAGTGCCAAGTCATGTGATGTAACACAGATCAAGAAGATTTTAATTTGATGATTACGTTAATCGATAACTAATAAATTACAAAACTAGAATTATTGGCTCTTTATTTCCCTCAAGAGTTCCTCAAGAAATCTCCTATATAAAGTATATTGTACACGTAAAGTCGAATTATTATATAGATATTATTATGATATATGAGTCTGTATAGAGTATGAGTTTGTATAGAGAGTCTCTAATTGTATAGGAGTCTCTAATTATTGGTTAAGGCTATGGTTTAGGCCTTGGTTTTGAGTTGTATATAAACCCTCAATTGTATAGTTTTGAAGATTAATGAGAATAAGATTCATTTGGTAATATGGTATCAGAGCAAAATATCTTAATCTCATTCTAACAAACACTTCCGCTTCATCGGAGCTTCGTCGGCTTCTCGCCGGATTTTTTCCTCCGATTTCAAGCTCTATGAGCTTTCTCTTCTTCGATTCTTGCTTGTCTTCGTTCTCCTGTGCATTCTCAGCTACGGATTTTTCGATTTGAAGCTGTCTTTGATTATCAATGGGAAAACGCAATTGCAAGTCGAAGTATCGTTCCGTTGCTCCCGATTCGCCGGAATCCGGCACGGCGTTGTCACCTCGAGCTCGCGGCGAGTCATCTGGACATCCTCCACCTCCCGCGACTTCAGGATCGGCGAATCGCGTTGCTCCAATCACTGATCGTGCTCCAGCTCGTCGTTCTCTTTCACACGACTCTTTTGAGGTATCAGATTCACCGGATAATATCCACTCTCCCTTTTACCTGCAAAATTCTGATCATCCTGGACTCGTTTTAGTAGCTGAACCTCTAGATGGTAATAACTATGGCGTCTGGTTTGTTGCTATGACCACGAGTCTAGAAGCTAAGAATAAGCTTGGTTTTCTTGATGGATCTATTGTTAAACCTGATGAATCTGATCCTTATCATAAGATCTGGTGTCGTTGCAATAGCATGGTGAAATCGTGGTTGTTGAATAGCGTCTCTAAGAAGATTTATGCTAGTATCCTCTACATCAAACATGCTTCGGATATCTGGAAAGATCTTCACACACGCTTTCATAAGTCAAACCTTCCTCGCCTCTACAAGCTTCGTCATCAGCTTCACTCTCTCCATCAAGGCAGCATGGATCTGTCATCTTATCACACTCAAACTCAGACTCTGTGGGAAGAGCTCTCTAACATTCAGCTCACACCACACACTGTTGAGGATTTACTTGCTGAGAAAGAAACTAATCGTGTCATTGACTTCTTGATGGGTTTAAATGATTGTTATGAAGGTATCCGGAGTCGCATTTTGATGAAGAAAGTCTTACCTACTTTGTCTGAAGTTTTTAATCTCTTGGATCAAGATGATAGCCAGAGATGCGCAAAGGTTCCTCTTCCAACTGCTCTTGCCTCTGCAGCATTTCAGGTTTCTCATTCATCATCTCCAGGTACTGCTCAGACTTCTTCATTCATGCGGAAAGACAGGCCTTATTGTACTTTCTGTGGAAAAGTTGGTCATGTGATTGATAAATGCTACAAAAAGCATGGTTATCCTACCAGTTTTAAGCCAAATCAGAGGACTGACACCAAACCGTCTGTTGTGGCTGCTGTGACTACTGATGACTGCTCTGCTAATCCTTCTTCCACTGATAGTGATCTGTCTCCTACTCAGATTCAACAGCTTGTTTCATACCTCAGCAGCAAGCTTCAGATTCCTACCTCTACTCCCACTCCAGAAGTTCACTCTGTCTCAGCATCTTCTGTCCCTTCTTCCTCAACCATGTGCCCAATTTCCGGTACTTTTTATCCCTCTATCACTTGTTCTTTTACCGGAATTGATAGGCCTTTTATCTGTTCTGTCAATGGTAAACTTCCTGCCATTGATGCTTGGGTGATAGATTCAGGAGCAACCAATCATATTTCTCATGATAAAGCTTCTTTCCTTACCTTCAAACAAATTCAAAACAATGTTAATCTTCCTAATGGGATTCTTGTGAGCATTGTTGGGATAGGTACTATACACTTGGGTAGAAATTTGATCCTTCATGATGTCTTGTACATCCCTCAATTCAAATTTAACCTCCTTAGTGTCAGTACTTTAACCAATAGTCTAAACTGTAGAGTTTGGTTTGATAGACTCTATTGTGGTATACAGGATCCTACTCGGGACTTAATGATTGGGAAGGGTAGGCAAGTGGCTAATCTATATTTTCTGGACATCGAGTCAGTTTCAAGTCCAGGTACTTCTCTTCCTATTGTTGCTGCTTCTGTTTCCAGCCCCGACATGTGGCATAAACGTCTAGGTCACCTCTCTATGTCTAGACTTCAGTCCATGCAATCTCTTTTGTCTTTCAATAAAATCAAAACTGATACAGAACATCACTGTAAAGTTTGTCATCTTTCAAAACAAAAACATTTACCTTTTGTTTCTCAAAATAAACTCAGTGATAATCCTTTTGATCTAGTTCACATTGACACTTGGGGTCCCTTTTCTGTCCCTACTCATGATGGTTTTCGATATTTTCTAACTATAGTGGATGATTATTCTAGGGCTACTTGGGTATATCTTCTTAAGAATAAGTCTGATGTTCTTCAAGTTTTCCCAACCTTTCTCACTATGGTAGAAACTCAGTTTCAGAGTAAAGTTAAGGGGGTTAGGTCTGACAATGCTCCGGAACTCAATTTTCTAGCCTTTTATCAGTCTAAAGGCATTCAATCTTATCATTCTTGTCCTGAAACCCCACAACAAAACTCTGTTGTTGAACGAAAACATCAGCACATCCTCAATGTTGCTAGATCTCTTCTTTTTCAATCTAATATTCCTCTTCCTTATTGGGGTGACTGTATTCTTACTGCAGTTCATCTAATAAATCGTTTACCTGCTCCTATCTTAAACAATAAAAGTCCTTTTGAAGCTATGACAAAGAAACTTCCTGACTATTCTCAATTAAAAGTTTTTGGCTGTCTTTGTTATGCTTCCACTTCACCCAAGAACAGACACAAATTTGATCCTAGAGCTCGTGCTTGTGCTTTCCTAGGTTATCCAACTGGATACAAGGGTTACAAGCTTCTTGATATTGAATCTAACGCTATTATTGTCTCTAGACATGTAGTGTTTCATGAAGAGCTCTTTCCGTTTATTGGTTCTGATCTTTCTATGGATACAACATCCTTTTTCCATGATCAGTCTCAATCATCTCCTGTGTCGCCTCATATATCTGATGAAAGTCCTTCTGTACCTTCATCTTCTGCAGCAATTCAACCTTCTGTTGAATCTGTTAAAATGTCCCTGAGCCTTCTGCTCAAACATCACACAGGAGATCCAAAAAGCCTGCTTATCTTCAAGACTACTACTGTCATTCAGTAGGGTCTTCAACCGCTCATGAAATATCCAAGTTTCTCTCTTATGATAAAGTCAATCCACTTTATCTCTCTTTTCTGGTTTCCATTGACAAAGAAAAAGAACCCTCAACCTATGCTGAGGCAAAAGAACTTCTGGTTTGGTGTGGAGCCATGGATGAAGAAGTGGATGCTTTGGAGGGAACTGATACATGGACTATTTGCACCTTGCCTCCGGATAAGACTCCTATAGGCTGCAAATGGATTTTCAAAGTGAAATTCAATTCTGATGGTACTATTGAGAGATACAAGGCTCGTTTGGTTGCCAAAGGGTATACTCAACAGGAAGGAATTGATTACAATGAGACTTATTCCCCAGTGGTAAAGCTGACTTCAGTAAAACTGATTCTTGCTATTTCTGCTATACATAATTTTTCTCTTACTCAACTAGACATCTCCAATGCTTTTCTCAATGGGGATCTAGATGAGGAGATTTACATGAGGCTTCCTCCTGGGTATGCTGCCAAACAGGGGGACTCCTTGCCTCCTAATGCTGTGTGCAAACTGAACAAATCTTTATATGGCCTTAAGCAAGCTTCACGACAGTGGTTCTTAAAGTTTTCTCAGACCTTGACTACACTGGGGTTTACTCAATCATACTCTGATCACACTTGTTTCCTGAAAATTACTGATACTTTGTTCTTGTGTGTATTGGTATATGTGGATGATATAATTATCTCCAGTAACAATGATTCAGAGGTTGATATCCTAAAGTCTCAGCTCAAGTCTTTTTTCAAGCTCCGTGACCTTGGTGCTTTGAAATACTTTCTTGGCTTGGAGATTGCCAGAACCGCCGAAGGTATTCATATTTGTCAGCGTAAATATGCCCTTGATCTCCTTGATTCTGCAGGGCTACTTGGCTGCAAACCTTCTAGCATTCCAATGGATCCTCACGTCAAGTTTTACAAAGACAGAGGTGGAGATCTTGTAGATGCAGAATCCTACAGGCGCCTTATTGGTAAGCTCATGTACTTGCAAATCACGAGACCTGACATCACCTTCGCTGTGAACAAGCTGAGTCAGTATTCTCAGGCTCCTCGCAAGGCTCATCAACATGCAGTTTACAAGATTCTTCATTACATCAAAGGAACTATTGGCCAGGGTCTTTTCTACTCAGCTAAGTCAGAATTACAACTACAAATGTTTGCTGATGCAGATTATGATTCCTGTTTAGACACACGTCGTTCTACTTCAGGTTTTTGCTTATTTCTTGGTTCTTCCCTCATCTCTTGGAAGTCCAAGAAGCAACCTGTCGTCTCCAAAAGTTCTGCAGAGGCTGAATACCGCAGTCTTTCCATGTCCACAGATGAGCTGGTTTGGATCACTAATTTCTTCAAGGAATTGAAGGTTCCTCTTTCTAAACCTACTCTCCTATTCTGTGACAACACTGCAGCTATCCACATTGCAAATAATCCTGTCTTTCACGAGCGCACAAAGCACATAGAGAGAGATTGCCACAGTGTTCGTGAGAGGTTACTCGCAGGTTTGTTTCAATTATTCCATGTTCGTACTCATCTCCAACTTGCAGATCCATTCACTAAGCCCCTGTACCCAGCACCATTTCATCAACTCATTGGCAAGATGGGTTTACTCAATATATTCGTCCCATCTTGAGGGGGACTATTATGATATATGAGTCTGTATAGAGTATGAGTTTGTATAGAGAGTCTCTAATTGTATAGGAGTCTCTAATTATTGGTTAAGGCTATGGTTTAGGCCTTGGTTTTGAGTTGTATATAAACCCTCAATTGTATAGTTTTGAAGATTAATGAGAATAAGATTCATTTGGTAATAGATATTGTAATCTTAATGAGGAAAAACGAATATTCTTATCAGTATGATCATATACTTTTAGTTGAAAGATTTTATATATATATATTATATATATATATATATATATATATATAGTCATGATTACATCATCGTATCATTGAAAAATACTTAGCCACCATCACACATTATCATATATATGGTTTTATATACTCCATTATCTTCTTCCAAATTTAACCCATTGTCGTTGACTCGTTGTAATTTACTGAATTGCACTTATATAGACATTTAATTCTATTTGATTATCATTATCGTGAATCACTGAATCTCTAAACATATCACACACTTCCCGGCTTTCAATTTGATTGTATCAAAGCTAATAACGAATAATCTACTCATAAGTTTTGGTTAACTAGTTCATCAAAAAAAAAAGGCTAGCTTAAGTCTAATTACGTAAAGCTAACGTTTTGGATGGATATATATTATAACAGTAAAGGTACAGTATATGCAAAAATATGTCCAAAAATATATTCGTGTTTAACTCATTCAAATAGAGAGCTTTACTCAGCTGCTAAAAAAAACTGCAATTATAATAATTAACGCAATTAAATTAAGCTCCGTTCACGTGAATATTCGAATAGGTCTCTGAAAGAGAGTTATATATTTATACACACACATAGAAGAGAGAGAGAAAGCAATACAAGTGTATATATGTATAAATGGAGCATTTGCTAGACCAAATCATATTTCTTAATCCCCATCTCCTTATTCTCCTTCTCCCTTCTCCTTCTTCTTCTTCTTTTCTTTCCTTTATATTCATTCATCCCAAACATAAAACAACAGATCATATCTTAAGATTACTACAATATACAACACATCAAATGAAATTGTATTTCTGTTGAACTTTATGCATCCAAAGTTATATATATTTACCAGAAAGAAAGCAAGTTAAGGAATCCTCCAAGGTATCATCTCTACATTTCTCTCATGACTCATCATTTTCAATTAGGGTTTCTATGTTGGGGTCCGGTTTCTATAAATCCCAGTTACTATTATGGTCTTAACTACGATTATAATCTTAATTAGCTATAGTGCTCATCGTTGATTCACATCTCCGAAGAGCTTATATATTTTTAACCCTAAAAACTGATTAATTAGAGGGATTTGTAGGTTGCATGTGTGTCATTTAATTTGTGACTACTACATTGGAGATACAAACATACTGTATATTTCATAATTAATATTAATTGTATCTTTTTAAGAATATTTCCATAGATAATGAAATTGAGCTTCTAATAATGATATCCATATACACAAAAGTATATCATATGTGTTAATATATACGTATATCACTAAATGATCAGTATCGTATATGAACATGCAAATTACATTTTTTTAATTTACCCACCATTTTGCACTTTTACCTTATACAAGTGAAAAGGGACAATAGTACTAGGTCCCCACTCCGATAAAAAGGAAATATACAATTTTTTTTTTTAATTTCTAAATACGAAACATATATGATGGTTTGTAATTTATGTTATAAATCATAATGCATTTGAGAATATTTGATTACGATTTTCGCTTTCGTAAAGATGAAACAGAAATATATATACAACTGTAACAACTCTACAACCTTTGCAGGAGTCAAAAGCAGTAACTTTAATTCATTTTTAATATAAAACAAAAGTAACATCTTAAAAAAAAAAAAAAAAAAAAATTAACATCTTCATGATCAATAGCCCATTAATAATAAGTAGTTCATACACATCTAAAAAACATATTATCGTTTACTGAAAATTATACTGCAGGGGGATTCCTAAATAGACTTTCTAGGACTCTTATTTTATAGGGTTAATGATTATCAATTGTATTATAAGTTAAGTAGGAGGACTCAAGTGTAAATGAACAATACTATCTATTTTATACTGTTTTCTAAATTGTAGTATTTTATTACGGTCCACGTATTTGGGCCATAAGAAGACCCGGCAATCCACGTGAAAGAGAATCCTTCCCACTAACATCCACGTTACCACATTAATCTTTAAATAGTTCTCATCAATTAATCACTATAATACTCCTTCCGTTCCTAATAGTTTGATGTTTTGAAATTTTTTTTGTTCTACTAAGTTTGATGTTTTGAAATAATATCATTATTATTTTTAATCCTAACCAATAGGAAGAGGAAATAAGTGAAACTAAAATTATTAAACAAACAAACAAATAATTAAATAATATAAAAATTAATTTTTCTTAATTTATGTGCAAAACCCAAAACATCAAACTTAAAGAAGAGAGAGAGTATTAATCACCAGATCATCCCTTCCTTAAAAAAAAAGAAAAAAGAAAATATTAATCACCATAACTTTGTTGGTACAACAATCTCCATCTTTTGTTTGTCGCATATCTTCGGATAACAAATGTTTTTAAAGTATTTTCTAAATGTAAAATGACCATTTCTATCATACAACGTAAAAGAAAATGTTAAATACAAATATACTACAATACAACTTTTTGAACGTTGTTTAAAATTTAAATTAACAAAAAAATATTAACGAGATACCTACCAGGCTACTACACCACAATTAATCTCAGAGAGTCCCCAAAAAAAAATCCATTAATTCATTACATATCCCTAGAAGGACCCCATTTTTAAATCTTTCAAAAACTTTAATATTTGGATGGTAAAAATCCCCAGAAATCATAATATGGATCTGTTCCCACGCGCTCCTTGCATTTTCTAAACGAGAGCATTAGACCAAACGGTTCAAGACTTCAAGCCGTTAATAAGATGTTTGATTTACTTGAGAAAAAAAAAAAACACCAAGTCGTTACATGTCGTGCTTTACACGCGCCTTAAGGGAGAGCGTGAGGGGATAGTGAATCTAAACCTGAACTGTCTTGGTCATTAAGTGAAAGTGCATGGAAAATCTCGAGTTGTTGTTTCCTACATCTCTCTGTTTTTTTTTTTTTTAATATACTAGTATATTTTACTATTTCCTATACGTATCAACTTGTAAGCAAAACTTTTTCAAACTTTGATCCATAAATTTAATACATATTGATGTATCTCGTATATATATCACAGTGACAAAGCTCTCTTTTTTTTTTTCTGTATTATTTTGGTTGTAGTAGGCTTTTGTTTTGATGGAGGAAACCCCGCATCGAGTTTCACGTAGAACCCATGGCGGGACCCACTGTCAAAACGACACCGTCGACGAAGAGAGCCGTCGACGACGGCATTTCAACCACCACACTCACGGCAACGAACTCAAATGCTCCAGTAAGAGATGCCGATCGTGGGCGGCTGCGGCGATTGCTGACTGTGTAGCGCTTTGTTGCTGTCCATGTGCGATCATAAACCTTCTTACTCTCACTTTCGTCAAGGTCCCGTGGATGATCGGACGGCGATGTCTCGGCGGCGGTCGGAATAAGAAAAAGCGGAGGCTATTACACAAGAGGAAACGCCGCGGGAATATCAACGGTGAAGATGAGTTTCATCATCATAATAACCATCACCGCCGGTTTGAGACAGCCGAGGGGGACGAGAAATGCGGCTGCGGAGGTGTCGGGGGATGTTATGGCGGCGGAGATTATGATGATCACCGGTTTGTGGTAGAGAGAGATGGGAGTTTAACGAAGGAGGAGGAGGAGGAGAAGACGACGTCGTGTAAAGGAGGAGATCATGATGAGTCGAGAATAAGTGCAAGAGTTGAAGCCGAGAGAGTGTGGTTAGAGTTGTATCAGATTGGTCATCTTGGATTTGGTAGAGTCTCTTTCACTGGAATTCAATGATTGATCAATTTGTAGGATTTTAGTTATATTCAAATAAATATAAAATGTGAATGTTTTAGTCTATGTGTTCTATTCTATGATAATGATAGGTTTCGCTAGTGAGCGTATTCGCATCAATACATCTCGATCCACTATGCCAGAGACCACATTTGTGATATATGACTGCAAAAATTTGTTCATTCAATCAAAATATCATGAAAGCTCGACAATTTTAGAGACTCCTGCCGTTGCTTTGATTTATAAAACTACATGTGAAATAAAACAAAGAGGAAGTGGTTATTGGTAGATTGATTCGTAAAAAGATCATCAGTAACATTTAAAGTTCAATCTTTATTAGTTTAAGAATTCTTGTAAAGAGATATATTTGTGTATAATCCTCCATAATCTCGAATGTAATTACATTCCAAAGCTTTTGTTATTCAATTTTTTTGTTTTAATGATTCTATTAAAGTATAATATTATTGGGATATGAATTCTTAACACACTAATATCCACATAACATTATTTTTAAAGTAACATAGGTTTTATCATATTTATTAAATTTTTTTTTTTTTTGACAAGATCTTTAAGGTGGTGTTATTCAATAATATATTTTAATAGAATTGAAATCCAACACTAATCCAGTGTCATTCAACTAATGATTATAAATCTAACGTTAAAATCTGGTGTTATTAGATCTTATACTTCATTAGATTTTAAAAGTTTGGTGTTATTCAATGGTGGAGTTAAGGTCAATTCTTTAAGGTTTGTAAAATCCAGTGTTATTTTAAACTAAAAGACTTGTAAAATATTTGTATATTAAGTCATTTCAAATGAAACCTCTTTGGAGTTTCATGAGTAAATTATTAGAATCAAAATCCAAGATATACTGCAGAGATTTTGAAATCCACACAAACAGATTCTTAAAACCAATATCAGAAAACAAATCTAAACCTTAAAGAATTGACTTTAACTCCACCATTGAATAACACCCCCTAATTGAAATATCAACAATCGTTGAACTTGAAGTCTTTAACAAAATCAAGCTAAGCCTACCAAATAATACAAACAAACCCAGCCAAAAAATAAGAAAACATAAATAATAATTCTATACAAAAATGGGCCCGTTCATAAACAAATTGTCAAATTTATTAGTTGGGCTAGATACGAGACAAATTTAATAGTCGGGCCCACTAACAAAGGTCTGCTCGTAACCGACCGTGCGCATTTTAGTTGGGACCCATAATTATTATGTTATCGTGCTCTAATTGTGCACCGTCCGCGTACAATACCCTTTCCTCTCTGCTTGTGCCGGACATAGTTGTTTTTTTTCAGTTCGTTCCTTCTTCCCCGCCTTCTTCTTTTAGGAACCAAACAGAGAGCTCAAGAGAGAGAGAGAGAGTCGGTGAAACAATAATGGAGAGCGAGCCGACTCGAGTGATGGTGGCGGTGAATGAATCGACTCTCAGAGGCTATCCACACGCGTCGATAAGCAGCAAAAAGGCATTCGAGTGGACACTGAAGAAGATCGTTCGGTCCAATACCTCTGGTTTCAAGCTTCTCTTGCTCCACGTTCAAGTTCAAGACGAAGACGGTTATTTCTCTGTTCTCGTCTCTTTCGATTGTTAATTTCGAATGTTTTTGATACTTGGATTTGAGTCTGTATCTGTGGTTAATGTTGTTGATCATTAGTTCCAATGATTATACTCAACGGATATGTTTAGGGTATAAGTTGATCAATACAGGCTAAATTCTGTGTTTCTTAAGACTTGATCTCTAGTGTTTTAGCTGTTTGCGAGGGGTCGTAGAGTTTTCAATGCAAGTCTGAGAACTTAGAAGAACTGTTTTTTTGGTCAGTTAGAAGAATCTATATAGTTAATTGTGTTTCTGATTTCTAAGAAATATTATGGAAGCGGCTTTCTTCATGTTTATGTGATATCTATATAGTTTTTGTTTGTTTGTCAGATAGCATTAATAAAGGTGATCTTACTTGTTTTGATTATGAATTGGGAAGCAGGTTTTGATGACATGGACAGTATATATGCTTCCCCTGATGATTTCAGGGGAATGAGGGAGCGTAACAAGGCTAAAGGACTTCACCTTCTTGAGTTTTTCGTTAAAAAATGTCATGAGATTGGGGTAAACGACTCTTTTAACTCATATATTGGGGATCCACATCTGTCTTTATGCCCCTCATCACTCGTATCACAATCTCTTAAAAACCTTCAATGACTTTTGATAACTATTATTATTTGTAGGTTGCGTGCGAGGCCTGGATCCGGAAAGGTGATCCCACTGAAGTAATATGCCACGAAGTCAGGCGAGTCCGGCCAGATTTTCTGGTTGTGGGAAGTCGTGGTCTCGGCCCATTCCAAAAGTATGTACAATCCTCTGCTTTATAGTTTATACCCGTATCAATTAGTCATTTGGTTTATTTGGCGTGGATTCACAACCCATCAGCATGGTTTTCGATTTGAAATGCCTATCAAGGGATTTAAAAGTTCCTGTTGATGCTTTCATTATGTAGTCTCAGTTGCCTTGTTGGGTTTGGGAAAAACACAGATCAAGAATGAGTTGATCTTATTAGATTTCCAGTGACCTTTTTCTTGCATATGATGATTGATGACACCTCATGGAAATCGAACGCTGCCCATGCTTTAGACTTTATACTGCACTTGCTGGAGCTTGAAATCACAGATATTGATCAAATTCACATTTGTTTACTACTGCTGGACAGGGTATTTGTTGGAACTGTGAGTGAATTTTGTGTGAAGCATGCAGAATGCCCAGTCATCACAATCAAACGCAGTGCTGAAGAATCTCCACAAGATCCAGCTGATGACTAAATTCCTAAAGCAACACAAAACCATGCGTGCGATTTCATGTCTGCTGAATCCCGTAAGCTTTTGAGAGACAAATAAATGGGTGTGTTGCAGTACAGAGGAAGAAAAAGGTTACAGAACTCTTTTGATTGATCTAGTAAGTGCGTCTGTAATAGATATTCGATGATACACACACACAGCATCATAGATAATCGTGTGTAGTCTCCATTCTCGAAAACATGAAAACAAAAGTTCCTTTATTCGTTGTGTAACATTAGACTCTTCAATGTCTTTGATATATCGCTATCCAATGTCGGATCTGTTACATAATATCCATATTAGATTCAGTTTTGAAATTATAATGCCAAATAGCAACAAAACCAATATCTGGATTGAATCACTCAAAATATTTAAATATTTGTTATTACTTGACTAGCTGACCATGTCCGAACCCTAGTTGTGGATTGCACGTCTTCTCGAACTAAAACTGTGGAACTCTTCCTCTGGTGCCGAAGTTTATTCTTCTCTTTTGCTAGGTATAATAATTTGATGTTTCTTGGACGATGCAACCTTTAGTAAAAAGGGTTGTCTAGGATTTGGCGAAAAGAATGGATAGGATCAGCGATCTACCAGATGGGATTATCATCCGCATTTTGTCCTTCCTTTCCATAGATGAAGCTGCTTCAACTTCCCTTCTCTCAAAGAGATGGCGTGATATGTTTGCCTTCACACCAAATCTCCATTTTTCCCTTACCAAACCAAAACAGTTCTTGCCTTTCGTGGATCACCGACAAAATTTCATGGATTTCGTGGATCGAGTGTTGGCTGTGTCAGGCGATTCCGCCATAAAGAGTTTACTCTGAAATGTCGACTCGGTGTTGGCTCAGTTCATACCAACCGTTGGAAATGTAATGTGCTGAACCGTGGTGTTGCGGATCTTTATCTTGATGTAAAAGCTCAAGATTCACTACTCTTCGAGGTCTTTGCTTGCAAGACACTTGTTAAGTTGAAACTGAATCGTTTGAAATTCCTATGCTTCTCTTCCAGCTCTTAAGACTCTCTCTCTCCATTTCGTTCGGTTCTATAATCTTGACGCGTTCGAAAAGCTTATCTCTGCTTGCCCTTTACTTGAGGAATTGATCATGGATTATATTTCGTGGGAGCTTTGGAAATGTTCTCACATCCTCTCTTGTCAGACCCTTAAGAGACTTACCATTGGATGTATCAGTTTTAGTGTTGAGTTGGGAAGCATGAGTTTTGATAATCCCAATCTTGTCTACTTGGAATACTCTGATTTTGTTCAGCTTCTTTATCCAGTTGTTAATCTTGACTCTCTTGTGGAAGCCAAGCTCAGGCTTACAATGAACGAAGGAGGACCTAAAAACTGCGATCCATCAAATATGATTAAGGGTTTAAGAAATCTCGAGATCCTCAACTTATCATGTCCTGAAACTGTGGAGGTAATTGTTGTTCTTCTCTCTGCATTTGATCCAAAGATTGGTTTTATGAAGACTAGTTCATTTTGTTTTTGTTTCAGATTTTTGGGATCTTCCATGAAACAATGCCTGAGTTCGAAAACCTTTTTCATTTATCTATCACATCTGAAGTGGACTTCTGTTCATCTGTCTCTTCTCTACCATCTCTGCAGAAGAAATCTCCAAATTTACACACTCTTGTCATCAAGGTATGATCCAAGACCCCAAAAGATTGTTCGACAAACGCAATTTACAATGACTAATAAACTGTCTTGCTTCAGGGTTTCTTGCGCCATGATAAACCTGCATCTGATTGCAAATGCTTCTTGGGATGTTCTCGTCTATCTTCATGTCCTGTGAAGGTACTAGTATTAACAGAGTACGAAGGAAGTATCAAAGAGCTGGAGCAAATGAAGCGTTTCTTGGAGGAATTGCCATGTCTTGAGCTCGTTAAAGTTTGCGCCTCTGCTAAACACAAGGAAAAGTAGCAACTCACCACGGATTTGCTAACGCTTCCTAAAGCTTCTTCCAAATGCGAGATCAAGGTTGAGTTTTCTTGAAAATACCATATTGGCTCTCATATTTGCCCAAGTCTGTTGGAACATGAATCTACTTACTGTTATGACCATATTGAGCCCTCATGCGTAGTGTATTTGATTCGGTTATATTTGGGTTCTAAAAACTGAGAGAATACTGTATGCAGTGAGTGACATTCTATAAGGAGAAAAAGGTAACATGTCTACTGCTTACGAAGAGTGTTTCCATAAGTTTAGAAGCAAACAAAACGGTAAAAGTAAAAACTATCACAAAATCCATTTTTAACATGTTCAACACACACACGCAATGACACAAACATCAACGGATGCTATAAACCGTTGTAAAGTCAGATATAATACTTCTTTCTTCTCCACAATCACTAATGGTCTCTTCCAAGTGCAAAAAGTGTTCCAGCAGCTTCATCATGCCTACTCAATCAAAATGAAGGATTGATCAGTATTCATGAATCATATTTTGGCAACAAGGATAATAACACAAATGATTTTACTATCGTCCCAGAGTTTGTATATGGATACCAGGATATGAATAGGGCCAAAATTTATGTGGATTGGTGGGTGCCAAGTTATTTGTGTTATTAATAAAATCATACAGATCATACATTTGCTATCACAAGACACAAACTTGGGGCTGCTTCAGCAATGGGGTTTGCAATAGCTTGGTGGCTCAACAAAGTGAGTTCTATTCCTCAATACCAAAGAGCTACCCGGTTTTGATGAGCATACAATCTAAAACCCCTAAGGATGTTATTTAAGGGCATCCATACTTTCAAAAGAGTGTTCCTTTCAATTGTCTACTTAGTTTTACAAAATGGGGTATTTAGTTATTTACCTTGCTAGCGATGTTGTTGGAGAGCCAATCAAGGCCTTCATAAAGACCTTCTCCAGATGTGGCACAGGTGCTTTGGATGTACCTGTTAAAAGGAAAAAACATAAGTTACATTCCACCACATTGTGTGATCAATCTAACCACAAGAAAAAATTCTAGAAAAGAACTTTACCAATGGCGTTGGCGAAGAGAGTGAAGTCCAAGCTTGTCAGTTATTTCTGCAGCATTCATTGCGTTGGGAAGATCTTGTTTGTTTGCAAACACAAGAAGGACAGCATCCCTCAGTTCATCCTGCAAACAGGGTTTAAATCAGATTATGGAAAACTATTTCTGCCTAACTGTGATACAAGAGAAAACCAGAAGGAAAGCTAACCTCATTTAACATGCGATGTAATTCATCTCTCGCCTCCACAACTCGGTCCCTGTCGTTGCTATCAACCACAAAGATAAGACCTTGTGTGTTCTGGAAGTAGTGCCTCCACAGGGGACGAATCTGTTTTTAATGGAAGTTGCATTCTTAATGTCAAATATCAGAAAAAAGGAAGAAGACAAACACTCATAGATACTGGACGTGAAGATTGAAATTTACTATTCAAATTGAGCTTGCATGATATATATATAAACCAGGTTTTACGAAAGATCAGTACTACTTAGATGCAGAGCATAAAGCATGACGAGGACAATATACTATGATCTAGACAAGACTTAAAATGTGTACCTTGTCCTGACCCCCCACATCCCAAACAGTGAAGCTGATGTTCTTGTATTCAACAGTCTCCACGTTGAATCCTAGAAACAAGAACCTCCTCAACATTAAATTCGAGAAGAAAAACTTCGATGCAGGAGAAGATTACATAAAATCCATAGAGGATAAAACACAGGTAAGAAACAGAAAAGAACATTAATCTACTAAGTACACATTGAGAAACACTCTGATTCGAGGAATCCTTAAAACTTACCGATGGTCGGAATGGTAGTGACGATTTCGCCAAGCTTCAGCTTGTAGAGAATAGTGGTCTTACCAGCAGCATCAAGACCTACCATCAGAATCCTCATTTCTTTCTTGGCAAAAAGCCGGCTGAACAACTTTGTGAAATTAAGCCCCATTTTCCTTTATCTATACATAAGATCCAAAGTAAACCACAAAACACAGGTCAAGCAAAGCACAATTCGGCTCTATGTAACGATAACAAAACAAAATATTAAATCTATCTGCATCACAGAAAAAATTGATAAAAAGGATTACATTCCAAAAGATTTCAGCACAAAATTTCAACCAACCTATTCCTATAGATTGAAACAATGTCGATAATCAAATCCTTGAATAAAGCACATAAGATAATGAAATTCAACGTGTGAATCGACAAACAGAACTTGTAGACTGAGAACCAATGAACAAACCTATAAACCAGCTAAATCTATCGATCAATCTCTTGCTACTCTAAGAAAGATGGAGATCAAAAACCGAGAAAATCAATATACCAGAGATTTTGAGAAAGGATGATACAGAAGTTGAATCTATGAATGGTGGTGTGAGAGTTTGTTTACCTTTCGAAGAAGCTCCAAAGAAGGATCTCTGTTGTAGAGCAAGCCGCGAGTTTCGAAGAGAAAATGTCTCTCCCTCACAGAAGCTCTAATAATAGAATATTTATCAAATTCGTCCCTATAATATAGCGATATTTCGGATTTCACTAAAAATTAAAGGAGAATTACAAAATGGTCTACTCAATCTTTTTACTTACTCTCCACACAAATTCAGTTTTTCCGCTTTGTCTGAAGTTAGTACTCTAGCCATGGCCGTCTGTAACTGCTTCCTCCAAGCTCCACCACTCTCTCGCTTATTCTTACCGGTTTTATCTCGCCGAGCTACTACACTCTCTGCCGGTTATGGTCGGCTCAAATCCACCGTCATGTTCTGCTCTACTGGGAACCGGACCAGTCCTCTGATATCTCCGGTTCGCGCTGAAGTAAAGCGCGTCTCACGTAAAGACGTTGAAGTAGCTTCAGGTAAATAACTTGCTTATCTATTATTTACACACTTAGGTTTGTGGTTACTCTATGAGTATCTTCTGTTTATGTACAATTGTAATTTTGTGTTTTTTTTTTAAGCTTCTGATCTTCAATTTGAGACTCCTTTGAGGATTGTTGAGTATCCGGATCCTATACTACGGGCTAAGAACAAGAGGATTGGTGTTTTCGACCAGAATTTGAAGAACTTGGTTGATGCTATGTTTGATGTTATGTACAAGTAAGTAAGTGTCCTCATTATTATGTAAGTAACTTAGTACTCAATAACACAGACAAACAACAGAATGTTGCTGTGATTACATGCTATTGGACAGAACGGATGGTATTGGGCTCTCAGCACCACAAGTAGGTCTCAATGTTCAACTTATGGTGTTTAATCCAGCTGGGGAGCCTGGTGAAGGAGAAGAAATTGTTCTTGTAAATCCGATTATCAAGAAATATTCCGATAAGTTAGTACCGTTTGATGAAGGATGCCTATCCTTCCCCGGGATCTATGCTGAAGTAGTTGTATGTCCACCCTTTCTCGACCGAATTTCTTAACTTTACTGCTCATTGTTTCTTGGAAATCGGTTTTTATGTGGTTGGTTTTGCTTTCAGCGACCACAATCTGTCAAGATTGATGCAAGGGACATTACTGGTGAAAGATTTTCAATTAGTCTATCTCGTTTACCTGCACGAATCTTTCAGCACGAATATGACCATCTGGAGGTTATTTCTCCACTTTGATTTTGATATATGTGCTTGATGAGATAGCATTGACAACACAGAAAATACATTTATGGAAAATTGAGTGGCTGTAGTTGTGTTTATACAACTGAAATAAACCAGAGAGAAAGCTGATATATTTTGATGTTTCAACATTGAAAAGTGTCATCTCACGGGTCTTATCTTCGTTAGTACATTTTTTACATGCATGCACTTTTACTTGTTTTCATGGAGGTGTTTGGTGTTACTGTATGTGAGTATCACTTGCAAGCTTTCGTTTCGGTCTGACGGAACAATCTTTCAAATACAGGGAGTTCTCTTCTTTGACAGAATGACGGATCAAGTTCTTGATAGCATTCGTGAAGAGCTAGAGGTGAGTAAAACTGTAGCAGGACAGATTCTAAAGCTATAATAACCACTAGTTAAAGTTCGTGGATAGAATCACCCTTTGTATGTTAGTAGTGACTTTGGTGAACATCTTTGCATTAAGTAGTCTACTGTCTTAAAATGTATGTTATCATCGTTATTCTACAATATTCCTGACAAGTTTTGTACCGCAGGCCCTAGAAAAGAAGTACGAAGAAAAAACTGGATTGCCAAGCCCTGAAAGAATACAAGCACGACACAAAAGGAAAGCAGGAGTTGGTTTTGGCAAACGTTGATGAGACATTCTCGCTCAAATCCCTTTCATCTTCGTGTAGGATATGAGTAAAACTGTTACTTCGGAGTTTCAGGTTTTATTCTTTGTTCACTTGGGTTTTTGTCCTGAAACATTTCTACTTATTTTCCACTGCAGGGTTTAACTATGGTATAGGAAGCAGACAATGACAAGAAACACGTTTGCTTTTCTAAATTTAGAGGAGCACATCACATTATGTGATTCAAATCTCCCAAATAGGATGTACGGTTGAGACACAGATCATATATTTCAGAATCTTTTTTTGGTCTTGAGTATTATATTTATTCAGATTGTTTGTTTTGCGCTGTTATCTAATGTTGGCCTCTTAGCTTGACCTTTGGAAGTTGGAACTGCGTTTAGAATGTTCTTGCTAGTAAGTTGAACAATGTCGTGGTTTATCCTTTGTTACAAAGTAAAATGCGTTAGTTGTTTACATGTGCTGGAATTTTTGGTAACTAGACTTTTGATTTATTGCTTAGCTCTCATTTTATACATTTTCTGTGCATCCCTCGGAGGATATATGAAATCCTTCCTTAGGCTATGGGTTGGAACTAATTCAATAACTCCCAATAGTCTATAACAGAATGCAATACATTGCATGCGATATATTACATTTTGTTTGCAAATGATTTATAAAAACTAGTATATGACAAAGGAAGAGATTCAAACCCTTCTTTATTCGTATATTGTGTGGCCTACCTTGACATTTTAACATAATTTCTTACTCTAATATCAGCAAGCATCATTATTAGACCGGCTTGCAGCTTCTGGTGACTTTTCTGTTTTCAAACATTGTATTGGTGGAAGAGTTTTTGTCTTCAGTTCACCGTGTGCCTTCCAGCAGAAAGGATCTAGTGAACTTGCTTTTCCTGTGGCTGGCTTAAGCTCTATGGTCGAAAGTGAGATTCCTGTGCATGGCAAGCTATCACTGCAGGCAAAGCGTACAGGTTCTTTGGTGTAGGTACCTTTTATGTTTATGTAGTTTATGTTTGATACAGCGACTGCTGAAGTTTCATTATGGCATCCGCCACCATCGCAGTAATATTGATCTATTATTATTGGATTGGCTACGTTGCTGACTTGAATATTTGAAAACATAACTTGTTTTACAGACCCTGATCCTCCCTATCATTAAACATAACAGAAAGTTGTCAGCATCTTTGAATTGTTATCGCATGCATTTTTTTAAAATTTTCTTTGCCTTTATTCTGTTATGCGAATAACCGTGCTGGAGAATTTACCTGCCAGGACTTTATTCGAACACCATTCGTAGTTTCATGCATCGTGACATCACGGACAGTGATGTTTGAAACACACGCCTTTGTATTGTCCTTTCCCAGTCCTCCAATGCTAATTCCATGGCCAGGCCCACAGTCTACATCGTGTATGTTGATATTCGAGCATCCAGTTTGAATTGATATACAGTCATCTCCTGTAGAATGAAAGAAATTGTTATTTTTCATCATAACTTCAGTAAGTAGAATTGAGAAATTTATGATGATTTGACTTGTAGTGTCTGATTAAGTAATATCTTTAATTTAAACCAAATGGGACATGTTTTAAGTCTGTGGTTACCACAGGCCAGTGTGCTGCGGTAAATAACGGCATCTTGAGAGTTTTGCAGGTGGATTCCATCTGTGTTTGGGGAATCTCCAGGGGATGAAGTTGTGAAATCAGACACTTGAATGCTTTTGCAGTTATCAAACTTGAGATGGGTTTGAGGGCTGTTCTGTATGGTTATTCCACTGACCGTTACACCGTTACTCCCGTAGAACCTCAAAGCCTACATACCAACCAAGTAGGTAAATCAAAAATAAATTAAAGTTTCAAACGTTGATATTAATTTGGCTCCATCCATGAAATTTAATCAGGTTAAAACTTACTGTTGGTTTGGTCCTTGGCATTTTCGCGTTGTTCCACCATACTGATCCTCGTCCATCGATTATCCCTTTTCCTTTTATAGTGATTCCTTTAAGTGATTTGAATTCTATTCATTGCAAAAGACCTGATCCCCATGCACTTGCACTCGTTGGAGCTATGATCTTTCCATCTATCTACAAAGTATCCATATATGTTAGTCGCGGTTATATAACTATAAATGGTCGAATAACATTTGGTTCTTTATCTTATTTTATTTCTTGATAATTCACCTGAAACACAATGTTCTCTTTACATTCTTTTCCCAGGAAAGAAATAGGACCAACAAGGAACGTAGAACCAGATGGAACTAATAATGTTGACGCTGCCACCTTACAAGCTACCTTCCAAGCATCTTCAAAAGCCTGTGATATAAACGGTTCCATTATATATCGATAAGACGAATAGAAACACAGCTAAACAATAGAAATGCACACTGACCTTTGTGTCATCACTTTTCCCATCACCTTTTGCGCCATGGTCAAGCACATTGATTGTTCCTGAACTTTCCCCTTGAGCAATAGACCTGCGGTTTCCTTTCCAGTATACACTGTGCCTAGCGTCACAAGTCCCGAACCTCGAAGAGAGTGAGGAGATTAAGAGAAGAAAGTTCAGAGAAAGACATTTCAAGGTTAGTCTATACATCTTTAATATTGAAAAAGGATTTGTTTTAATATGAGATGTAAGTAAAATGGTAAAGCGAGGCTCATATTTATAAGCAGGGAAAAATACTGTTACGCATATGAGAATGAATCTATGATACAGTTAAACAGTTAGATGAGGACAAAAGGCCTTGGAACTCTCTTCCTTTTCAAATCAAGCATGTTCTACTCATTTGCTATATTTTATTAAATTGACAAAATTGAATAAAAAAGCTCATGAGGTTTACTTTCTTGATCAGCTTGTTCTATTGACCACATCATCACACTTTGCTTGCGGTTTGGCTTTGATTTGTTCTTGAAAATCATCATACATTATCAACATCTTTACTTCCGATGTGGCTTCGAATTTTCTTGAGTAGGCGTGTTACTTCGAAATTGTTTTGGTCGCTACTAACATCTTAGTATTCTCTAGCATTAATTCGAAGTTTCATTAAATGGCTATGTTATACTGATCTGAGGGTTAGTGTGCAGTTTTTAGGCGCTAGAAATAACTGATTACTTTCGTTTATAATAGAGAATGAGTCTGGTCAGTACTTAACCGGTCTTTGTAAGCTCTTTCGGTTAAATGAAAACCAAAATCAATTAATCAGGCATCAATAGAAAATGGCGAAAGAGTCAAGAAAAGTTGCCATACAATTACAGGTACATCACGTAAACCTCATCATCATCATCAGATAATCTTTTTTATGTTTAGTTCCTGAAATCAAGCACCGTAATTTATGTTAAATCTATGGTGTCACTGAATCTTTTAAAATCTATTCATCTTTTATCTTCAACTCATATTTTCAAAGATCCATTAGTTGCAAGACAATATGATATATGCTCGATACGGTTTTCTGATTATTGTTGTTATAGAGAGAATAAACCAACATTTGGGGATTTCTGGTTAATGATAAGCATATAGTAACTAGTAAGGTTCAATGTATGAAATTAAACTCGTGATCTGAAGATACACGTGCATGAGCCCCAGGTAAAAGGATATATAGGCTGCTATAGATTTGGTACGTTGGTACGTGTATGCAACACATGCGTTGACAAACTTTGTTGAATTATTCTATTTGATTCATGATCTTGAGAAGCCTATTGGTTACCAAAATTGGAATAATATAATCACTCTTCGACTCTTTGTATTTGAAGTTCGTGTTACTATTTTATTATTTTTTCTATTGCTTTGGCAGTTGAAAGTGTGGTATATAGATTTTGTTTTCAAGTAACTGATTTCTTGTCCTCTTTCTCAATATCTTGAATATATTGAGTACAAGATAGGTAATTCTTACATTTCTTTGTTGGTTTAAATGAGATAGGTAACGTTGCAACATTAGACTAATTTTGCAATATTTTGATGGTTTAATCATTTTATATAAGTATACAGGGGGAAAAATGTTGGATAGCAAATCACGTGAAGTGGTCATAACTCGCAAATCACATGAACAATATTTCTAGTACTCCGTAGAATTTGTGTATGTCCAAGTCCAACAACACGCGGAAGACGTAGAATTTGACAATTTCACCATTGTGTAATCTTAACCCGTGATTTGATGTAACGTTTACTACGTTCGTCTATAATCTAGAGCATTGTAATAGGCGTGTTTGATTTAATCATTTTTAATTTTTTGGTCAACTTCTATATTAATGTTTTACATGCATCGTGTTGTACGCAATTTATGTGAATAACGCCAATTTGTCTGACGGTTTAGTTTAATATCGTGTACGAAATTCACTCTTTTGTCGTAACCATTTATTTACAATCGGTGATTCCTATCAAATTGTTGGCACATCACTTCCAATATTCAATGATACATGATACTGTAATTGGCATTGGCAATTAGTAAAATCTTTATTAACAAAAGGGCTACTTTAAGGCCTTATCCTTTAAGAGAACAGTTATAACAAGCCCATATTCTTTAAGGCCCATCACCGTGTAGACCAACGGTCGAATCAGACACGACATCGTATAGCGAACCAAATCTTGTCGCTTTATGTGAGATGACTTGGCGATTTCGTAATTGAGATTTCCTTTTCTGACAAAACAACATTACAAATACCGAAAAAGTGAGGAACGAGAATCAGTGTACGCCACGCTTCGCTTAACGTTTAATACTCCTCTCAATCGTAGCCGTCCGATTATTTTCTGGCTTTGTTGTCGTTTTTCATGACCCAAATCTAACCGTCAATTAAAGAAGCTTACCATACACCCAACCGCAGGAAAAAGATTCAAGACCATTAAAAGCAGTCAACACAGATGACGTGACTCTAAGCGATTCCAACCAAAACACGCCACGTGTACGGGTACTCTTCTTCCTTGAGCGCGGACGTCAAAACTAACTATCAACTAAAACTTTGAAACTACCTATTGGGGTCCGCTCTCTCTCTGCCATCAGAAGAAAAACCAAACACAGCACCAACTCGAAGAGGGAGAGATTTGCCATTTTCGGCAAGGAAGAGTCTTTTATTCTAGGGCTTCTCTAGTTGCTGCTGCGTAAACAAGATGGTGAACTGAAATTGCGGCGGAGACTTTTCAGGTATGACGGCGCCACGACGTAGTCTCTTTTTGTGTTTGTTTAGCTCGACGCTGAGAGATTATGGAACAAACCATCTAGTTTTTACAGATTAGGGAGGGTTTAAGGTTGTGGTTACTTTGGATAAATCTATGTTAAATGTAGTAGAGCTAGGTTTTTGGCAGTTCTTATTACTTATTAGATCTTCTTCACTGTCTCTGTGCTAATGTCATTTTGTTCCAATTTTGGTTGAGTGAAAGTGATTGAACCATAACCTATGTTTTGCTTTTGTGTGTTTGGTCTTAACAGATTGACGAATTGAATCAAAGTACTTGAATATGGCTTCTGTGGGAACATTACCGGCTTCTTCTGTGGCTACAAAACAAAGCAATGCTTCCATATGCGCTGAAAAACTACCTGAAGGGATTAATGAGATGAAGATAAAAGATGATAAGGTTGAACAACTCAGATTCAGTATTAAGATCTAGCCTCTTATTTGATTTGGACTTTTTATGTTGTTACTTATGTGTTTTTCTTCGTGCTGTTTGCTGGTTGCTTGTAGGAAATGGAAGCAGCTGTGGTTGATGGGAATGGAACTGAAACAGGTCACATTATTGTTACAACTATTGGTGGTAAAAATGGTCAGCCGAAACAGGTTAGCTTGTTTAACATTTGTGTGTTTGAGAATTATCCATATTTGGTATGTTAATAGGAAGTTGATAGAAAGATCATTCGCTTACGTGAGTGGCACAATGACTGCCATATCTGGCACAATTTGTGGTTACTGTGATGTGTAACGTGTAATATAGTCTCTTATAGCTCTTTCTTTTTTTGTCCTTTCAGACCATAAGTTATATGGCAGAGCGCATCGTTGGACAAGGTTCTTTTGGAATTGTTTTTCAGGTGATGTTTCGATTAACTGCCCTGAATAATTGATTTTAGTAAGTAGCTGGTGCATAGACTCAATGTAGATAATTTTTTCTGATCTTGTTATTGTATATATGCAGGCCAAGTGTTTAGAAACGGGGGAAACTGTTGCAATCAAGAAAGTTTTGCAAGACAAGAGATACAAGAACCGTGAGCTGCAGACGATGAGGCTTCTTGATCACCCTAATGTTGTATCCCTCAAGCATTGTTTTTTCTCAACGACAGAAAAAGATGAGCTGTATCTCAATTTGGTCCTTGAATACGTTCCTGAGACTGTCTATCGCGTCTCAAAGCACTATAGTCGGGCTAACCAGAGGATGCCCATGATATATGTTAAACTCTATACTTATCAGGTAATTATTATCGAGCCACCAGAACATTTGTTCTCATCTTTTGAAATACTATTGAGTTATAATCAACACTGTGTTGCCATGATTTTCTCAAATCTTTCTCTTTCTTCTGTTGTGGATGCAGATTTGCAGAGCTTTGGCGTATATTCATGGAGGAGTAGGAGTCTGCCACAGAGACATAAAACCACAGAATCTTTTGGTTCGTGTCCTTAGTTGAGATGTTAATTGCAACGTTCAATGGTCTACATGCTTCTGCTTAATTAATCTTGTGTTTCTCGTAGGTTAATCCTCATACACATCAGGTCAAGCTCTGCGATTTTGGTAGCGCAAAAGTTCTGGTATATTATCATGAATAAGAGATGTTGATTTTATTTTCATATGAAAAGTGGACACACATATTACTTCTCTAGTGTTACTAGTCCTTACCTTAGTTGATAGAAGAGTTGTGTAAACTGAAGTAACCTTTTTAGCTTTGCCACTTTGTAACAGGTCAAAGGGGAACCAAACATCTCTTACATCTGCTCCCGTTACTACCGAGCACCTGAACTTATATTTGGAGCCACGGAATATACAACAGCCATTGACATATGGTCTGCAGGCTGTGTTCTTGCTGAATTGCTCCTTGGTCAGGTAGTTTGACTGTCCAAAATTTCTTTTATAATTCATGATGTTAATCACCAAATGATGTCTAAAGTTAAGTATTACCAATTTTTGGCAGCCTTTATTTCCAGGTGAGAGTGGAGTCGACCAGCTAGTCGAGATAATAAAGGTATTTCAATTTCGTTACACAAACCCCTACAATCATAATAAGCCATTGCTATATTGAACATAGACTGGATCATTGATTCTGTGGAATGAAGAGGCTCCATTTCCTGTTATTGATTGCCATCATTTTGTTTATTACAGGTTCTTGGAACACCAACTCGGGAGGAAATCAAATGCATGAATCCAAACTACACTGAATTCAAATTCCCTCAAATAAAGGCTCATCCGTGGCACAAAGTAAGCAAACACATCATCAGTCTTTCTCTTAACATTGATCTCCGTATAATTTTTTCGCCTCCGTTGATTGAAAAAATCTGTTGTTGGCTCTTAAGATATTCCATAAGCGTACACCTCCAGAAGCTGTAGACCTCGTCTCAAGACTTCTCCAGTATTCTCCAAGCCTCAGATCAACCGCTGTAAGTCCATGAAATGATTACGCTTTCACATCATATTCGATATTCATTTGGCTGATTCAAACTATCTTGTGATTGTAGATGGAGGCAATAGTTCACCCGTTCTTCGATGAGTTACGTGATCCCAATACACGTCTTCCTAATGGTCGCCCATTGCCTCCTCTCTTCAACTTTAAACCTCAAGGTCCGTCTCCTCCAAATATGCTTTTGTTTGTTTCCCAATGCTATTTTTTTTTTTAACAAAGACTAAAAAGTGTGTGCTTGTCGTTAAAATTTGTAGAGCTAAACGGAGCAAGTTCAGAGTTGTTGTCCAAGCTTATACCTGACCACGCCAGAAAACAATGTTCCTTCCTCGCTCTCTAAATCTCTCTCTCTCTCTCTCTCTCTCTATATATATATATATATGTGTGTATGTACACATGCATATATAATATGCTGATCGCTTTAAGTAATGGAGATAGCTTCTCAGGATTTCCTTATTATTATCTGTCATCTTTTATGTATCTTCTTTGTTGTTTATTGTGTACTGTTATCAGAAGAAGCACTTTATTTCATTCGATGATTAGTGTAATGTATGTAACGGTCTTTGACTGGGCTGGTCGCTGCAGTTATGTTGGATACTTCTAAATTATGAAATAACCTTCTCGCTCCTCACGTGTCATTGCATGCATCAAAAGCTCATGCTTCAAAACCATTTTTAAAAAGAGCCTATGTTCTGTATAAAAAAGTCAATTCATGAGATTTTCAAGTTTAAGTTTAACCAATTTCAAAAACATGAATTATCATAGACTAAAAAAATTAGTTTCGGAAATTGCCTCTAAGCACCACAAGTGTCAGGTAACGTGTCATTATTCATGATTATTGGTTTAGCTAATTAGAAACACTTTGGTTTAATTGTCGAAGTAGTATAAAGTGTAGGGACTAAATCGCAATATTCTCAAAATTTGACTTTTTTTAGAATCTATCAGACTTTTTGTTTCACTGTTTTCTCCTCCTTCCAGTAAACGGACGACGGGACAGAGCTCTCTCACCGACGGCGACATTATCTTTGCCGGCGGAGAGAGCGTTTCTGCATAATCTGTACTAAATACTTCTAAATTTCGATTACTTGGAATCTTTACTACAACAATGGTACATTTTGATTACTTGTTCAAACCACACTATTTGAGAGGGGAATTATGGACTCTTTACTATTTTTTTCTTTGTACATTATATAGGCGCAAGATTCTGCTGGTGATGACGATTTTGTTGATTGGAATACCGATGATGATTTGGAGATCGATAACTTTCAGTCATCTCCACCGTCATCTCCAATACAGTCCAGGGTCGAAACTTTAGTTGGTGTAGCTGTGGTAAGTGTTCTTCTAAAACACCAATCCAACAGTTTATGCCTAAACAGAATCATCCCTTATGTGATTTTTTTTTGTTTTGTGTACAATATCAGACAACTAGTTCTTTGAGCTCTCCTACAGAGACAACTGATTTAGTTCAGATGGGCTTCTCAGACGAGATTTTTGCTACATTGTTTGACATGGGATTTCCTGTTGAGATGATTGCTAGAGCAATCAAGGAAACTGGTGAAGCTTTTTTCTCTTGTTCATATTCCTTTCTGGATATATGTTTCTTACTTAGGTTTATCAATACCTTGATATCATTAATTTTACAGGACCAAATGCAGAAACTTCGGTTATAATTGATACTATCTCCAAATACTCAGTGAGTTTCTAATACTTGGATCTTTTGGGTTGCTTGTAATTTTCATGTCATCACGGTATTCATTCCTCTTATGTTTCTTTGTGAAGAGCAACTGTGAAGCTGGTTCTTCCAAGTCCAAGGCTATTGATCATTTCCTTGCGATGGGATTTGATGAGGAAAAAGTTATCAAAGCCATTCAAGAACATGGTACTTACAGACTTCTCTCCTCCTTTTAAGTAAAGGAACACTTTGTTACTTTTCTGACATTTGCTTTATATAATCACAGGAGAAGAAAATATGGAAGCAATTGCAAATGCACTCCTCTCTTGTGCAGTAAGTGATGTGATGTTGCCAAGATATATTGTCTCTTGACATTAAAAAGTAAATCTTAATGTTTGTTGATGGTTTGTAGGAGGCTGAGAAACTGCCAGTAGTAGAGGAAGAAGATGTCATTGACTGGTCAAGCGATGACGAGACAAATTACTCCGATATATTAGTCTCAGATGATGAGGTATAATTCTTTCATGGTGGTGATAACATATTTAGCATCATACGTTTCAATTGTAAATGTATCTCAGTGCTATTTGTGTATATGTATCAAATATGCATTTTTAATCTGTTTTAAACCATGACAGAAGGATCCAAACTCTAAAGAAAACAGTAACCAAATACGGTCTTTGGTGAGAATGGGTTTCTCGGAGCTGGAAGCTTCTCTAGCTGTGGAGAGATGCGGTAACCTTACCTTACTTAAACTATTACCATTGGCATTAAATTTTAGTTCCTTTTTCTTCAGGTTTCTTTTAGAGAAAGTGGATTAAACCAAATTGCTTGCTTTTAGTGCTACTGTGGCTTTAGTCTCTGGTTCTGTGATGTAGGCCTTAGATGTGTTTGCTGAGCATTGTGATTGTATTGTTCACTAATCGATAGTTGTCATTAGTTCTGTGCTATCCTCTGGTTCTGTGATGTAGGACTTAGATATGTTTGCTGAGAATGTGATTGTATTTCACTAAATGATAAAAGTTGTCAGTAATTGATACAATTGTATTTTCAATAGTTCCTTCTTATTCAGGTTTCTTCTAGAGGAAGTGGAATAAGCCAAATTGCTTAGTTTTAGTGTTATGTGATCGAGGGTGAAATTGTGGCTTTAGCCTCTGCTTCTGTGATGTAGGCTTGAAATGTGTTTGCTTAGCATTGTGATTGTATTTCACTAATTGATACAGTTGTCAGATGTTAATATAAATCTCTCACGTACCCAAAGTATGTTGTTGCCTTATCCAGACTTATATGATTGTAATTTCAGGAGAAAATGTGGACATTGCAGAGCTCACGGACTTCCTTTGTGCTGCTAAGATGGCTAGAGAATTTAGTGAGTTTCACACTGACCCTGAAGAACGAAAGGTATGGTTAAAAATCTGTCTTCTGTAGTTCATTCGTTTGGCCACTAATTTTGTGGGAAATTTGGTGTATGCAGCCTAGAAATGACATTAAGAAAAGGCGGTTAGAGTCAAAAAAAGAGCCAAGGTCATCTGTTGATGACGAGCCGGTTCGCCTACCAAATCCAATGATAGGATTTGGGGTTCCAAACGAGCCAGGACTCATCACACATCGATCGCTTCCGGAGTTAGCCCGAGGGCCACCTTTTTTCTACTACGAGAATGTCGCCCTCACACCTAAAGGCGTTTGGGAGACTATCTCAAGACACCTATTTGATATCCCACCTGAGTTTGTGGATTCAAAATATTTCTGTGCAGCAGCGAGGAAGAGAGGCTACATCCACAATCTCCCTATCAACAACAGATTCCAGATTCAGCCTCCACCAAAATACACCATTCATGATGCATTTCCTTTGAGTAAGAGATGGTGGCCAGACTGGGATAAAAGAACCAAACTTAATTGCATTTTGACTTGTACAGGCAGTGCCCAATTAACTAACAGGATCCGTTTAGCCCTTGAGCCTTACAATGGAGAACCAGAACCGCCTAAGCATGTACAGAGATATGTGATTGACCAGTGCAGAAGATGGAATCTGGTTTGGGTGGGGAAAAACAAAGCTGCCCCACTCGAGCCAGATGAGATGGAGAATATTCTGGGATTTCCAAAGAATCATACTCGTGGTGGAGGAATGAGTAGAACTGAGCGCTACAAGTCTCTGGGAAATTCTTTTCAGGTAACTTTACACATCATCTGCGTAAGAATACTCTCTGTAGATAAAGTCTTTTGCGTGTTTGATTCATTGGCTGGTGGTTTGAATACTTTGGTTTAATGGTTGGTTGAACTTGTTTTAGGTTGATACTGTGGCGTATCATCTGTCTGTACTGAAACCCATCTTCCCACATGGAATCAATGTTCTCTCTCTTTTTACGGGTATTGGTGGTGGAGAAGTGGCGCTTCATCGTCTCCAAATCAGAATGAAGCTTGTTGTGTCTGTTGAGATCTCAAAAGTCAACAGAAATATTTTGAAGGACTTCTGGGAGCAAACTAACCAGACTGGAGTTTTGATCGAGTTCTCAGACATCCAACACTTGACTAATGATACAATCGAAGGGTTGATGGAGAAATATGGTGGATTTGATCTTGTAATCGGAGGAAGTCCTTGCAACAATCTTGCAGGCGGTAATAGGGTAAGCCGAGTTGGTCTTGAAGGTGATCAATCTTCGTTGTTCTTTGAATATTGCCGTATTCTGGAGGTGGTGCGTGCAAGGATGAGAAGATCTTGATCATTCACTTTACCTGAAGTAGATTGAAGTAGATATGACTTGTTGAAATACTCTATTTTGTCTGCTTTGTGTCTGTCAGATATATTGGGATAAAAATCTAGTTGAACTTTATTTTTCTCGTATCTGTTATGTAATTTGGCCATGAAGGTACATCATTGAATAACATAAGTCAACCTAACTCTCTTTTGGTTTTTGCGCCAATGCATCTGCAGCTGCATTTGCACTTTTTCTCTTCACTGCCTTAAAACTGATGTTCAGGAATGTATTCAACCAGAGAAATATGTCATCATATAAATCTTTGATCATAGATCATTGATTTATGAGCTATCTCCCTCCATTATAAGAACTCTGTAACCGTGAGTCTGCTCTCCTTCCTTCACTTTTGCCAACACCGGAAATCCCGAATGGCAATAAAATCCAGCCTGCAGTTGCATCACCATTCTTTGAAATTACTGCATCATACTTATACTTAAACCATCTTACTTTTAACTGTTGTAAAAATCGTGTTGAGTTGGTTATTGCCTCTGTTCTTGAAATAATGGATTCTTTACTCAGGACCCATTCTTCCACATCTTCCATTGCTTTCATCACATCACTCAAAGCAGCAATCTTGTGATACTGAACAAGAGAACAAAGCATGGTTGATACTTTCAGATTCCAAACAACACCTTTGGTATCTATTATCAATGTGTAGTCCTCTTGAAATTAGCTTTGTAGACGTTCCTAATGGACCATACAGTGCTATACAGAAAAAGTAGCTTTGGTATTTGTTTCTTCTGATCTGCTCAGTTATGTTGTTTTCCTATAGCTAGATTGATCTGTATAGTTTCCTGTCCTCGTCAATTGCCAAACCAGTTTATCTCTTCCTCATTGATCAGAAATCAAAACAATGTAAGGAGGAAGATCTGAGGCGTTTCATACAATCATCTGAAAGATTTTCATACCAAACTGAGAGACACATGATTCATTCAATAATCATGTGGAGCTCAGGAGTTATACTAAGGACGGTAAATACACAGTTAAGTGTGGATACTGGTTAGCTTCTTCAAGGGAAGTTGCAGTTTATGATAATATGCAAAGACAATATATCAGGGTTGGGAGATTCTGTCCAAGATGTTTGCACATAGGATGAAACAAGTGGTCATGCCTTCTCTAAATGCCCATATGCAGAGGCGATGTGGCGACTTACTGGAATTCCTACATCAATGATATGTACTCCGAATAGTTGCATAGAAGACAAGCTTCATTATTACCTCATTCAACTTCATAATACCAATCAAATTTCTGAATTACATTGTCAAGTTTCATACTGGATCTTATGGAAACTGGAAATGCAGATATGAGCCTTATAATGACTGAAACATTCATATAAAGACGTTCATATAGATGATGAAAAAGAGGAGTCCAGAAGAATTGGAAAAAAAGCCGTTCGTAACCCACAGTGATGCAAACTGCTGATGGGATGGATAAAATGTAGCTATGATGCTTCATATAATGAAGGTGATCGAGCTTCAGGTATTGGTTGGATCTATCGTAATACTAACAAACAGTTCCTCAAAGCCGGGATAGGCGAATTCCATGGAAGATCAACACCGAAGGAAGCAGAGTGCAAAGTATATGGGAGCTACAAGCAGCATGAACAAATGGATACAGGAAAGTTCAGTTTGAAGAGGACAACCAGAACCTCAACAACTTGTTAAATGGAGACTTGAGCAAATTTGGAACTCCAGCACTATTATTATATCCACGTAATTAGGTACGGAAGCAATGTTTGAAGAGGTGAAATTTTGGTTCCGTAGTACAAACATCTCGGTTAAGGAATCAGTTAAGAGTAGTCGGTGACTGGTCATTATTTCATTCTTGTCCACACTCCACAATTCAATGACAAATTCAGAACTGTTACTATTACTAGTGTGCATTGGTGATTTGGTTCCACAATTTATTTTGTAGACTTTTAGCAGATGGATCTATGTCAGAAAGTGCAGGCCTGAATAACCAAACAAACTTGTTTACTTCAAAATATCGAAGTCATTCTTATTTAGAGGTCTGAAACATATATTAGCTGACAACATCCTCTACTAAACACCAACAAAGAAAGAACCCATAAACGAGTCTTTGTTTCCATAATATAAACAGAAAAAGGTTTCTCGTAGACCAAAACATTAGAAATATCCTTCAGATGTGTGTGATGTTTAAAAGTACTAGCGGCTTTGCTCAAACACAGACACACCCCACAAAATGAATAATTTACCCGAGCAGAAAGAGGCTCTTCTATATATATTGCCCCAATCTGGTTAAAATTCTGATGAGTTACCTATTTCTCATCATCATCGCCTCATGAAAGCTGCGAGGTGGAGAAGAAGTGGACGGTGGACCTCCTTTGAATCTCTCAGGACTACGGCTTCTCTCTCTTCCCCATCCCGAGCTGCTACTGCTTCAACCACCAATACCAGTTTTAAGTTTATAATGAGAAAAAGAATCAAGAGATCTAGTGAGTCGTTTATCTTTTATTTACCTGTCACGTGAAGGAGCCCAGCTTCCTCTACCGCCAGAATCACCACGACCACCATAACCAGAATCACCACGACCACCATAGCCAGACTCACCACGACCACTGTAACCAGAATCACCATAGCCACCACGGCCTCCACCACCACCACCACTGGAAGGTGGACCCCAGCGGCGAAATTTGTTCATTCCACCACCACCACGTGTAGCCATTTCGCGGACCTGTGGAGGAACTTTCTGGTTTGCTCCTTCCAATATCTTGATCAGATCTGAAGCATGTTTAGCATCTTGGTCTCCAAAAAAGGTGTAAGCTAGACCGGTAGCTCCAGCTCTTCCAGTTCTTCCGATTCTATGGACATAATCCTCTACTCCATTTGGAAAATCATAGTTGACCACCACCCTGTGAACCATAATTCTCCATTAGGATCACTTGTTTCTAACTTTCTCATAGTTGTATTTTGAAACTGGAATCATATTCATACCTTATGTCCTTAACGTCAAGTCCACGAGCAGCTACATCGGTTGCAACAAGAACAGGAGTCCTACCACTTCTAAATTGGTTCAGTACGTCGTCTCTCTCAGCCTGAGACTTGTCTCCATGTATAGCAGCGGCTCCAAACGTACGGGTCAGGTTCCTTGCCAGTTGATCACACATCCTTTTGGTTGAACAGAAAATTATGATCTTAGAACCCGGTTCCTGAGACCGCAATATCTGCTCTAACCTGCTATGTTTCTCCATCGGTGCTAAGACTTCAATAGTCTGTATCAGATAAATAATTAAAGAAACTATCAGATCCATTAATGTTATTTTGTCTATGAGAATCAAAATCAAAACGAGTAAGAAAACGGTAATCAAACCCACACCTGAGTAATGGACTTGTTCGCCACAAGCTCATCAACATTACCAATGTTGACCTGGGCAGGGTTAACAAGTAGATCAGCTGCGATTTTCCTGACCTCCTTTGGCCATGTTGCTGTGTACATAAGAGTTTGGCGCTTAGTGGGAACCTCGTTCACAATTTTTCTGATCTGAGGTTCGAACCCCATGTCCAGCATTCTATCAGCCTCGTCCAGCACAAGATAAGATACTTGATGCAGACTGATTCTCCTCATTTCAAGGATATCATTCAGTCGCCCGGGAGTTGCAACAACAATATCTACACCTCTTTCTATTTCCTTCAGCTGAGGACCCTTGGGTGCTCCACCATACAAGCACTACAAAGATACATCGAGTAAAACACTCAATACGACACTTCTCAAGTAACAAGTTCAGTACTTATATATTCAAGGATTTTGACTTACCGCACACGAAATTTTGGATGACTTTCCAAATTTCAGAGCTTCAACTTGGATTTGTGTGGCCAACTCCCTAGTAGGTGACAATACCAAGATTGTTGGGCCCATTCGTGAATCATTGTGGATCCGTTGGAGATGCATGAAACCAGGAATCAAGTAACCCAGAGTTTTTCCAGAGCCTGTTTTAGCAATGGCTACTATGTCTCTGTTTTGCATCGCAATTGGCCACGACTGAGCTTGAATTGGAGATGGAGCTGAGAATCCTGCACTGTATACCTGGCAAAACAACAAACCAGGATATCCTTTTCAGCAGAGAAACACCAAAAATCTTCTGTGCTTACGGAACCAGAAGAAGCATCATCCTCCCGTTTGCAGGCAACACAGGATAGCTGTTAAAACCTGCAGCAGGAGGATATCTCTACTTCTGTCTGGGCCAAATGGGAAAATAAAACATCAACAGGCTCTGCCACAAGCTTTGGGTGAATTTGCAGTCCCTTACCAAAGTATTTGGTCCACCAAAAAGGGCACTCCAAATAATTTGCAAGAACCCCAAAGAAGTGGCATAGCGTACGACATTAGCTCCTCCAAGAGCAAATATCGCACCTGGGACAAAAGAGAGCGCATATGGCATAAAATTGTGACTCTACTAAACGCAGACCCTCCAGTAATTTCAAAATCTCAATTAACAAAACACTCAAAAGACAAATATAGCTGGCAGATATGATAAATCTGCATTATTCGACAACATAGCTCCCTCCGTAAATCACTAAATCCAACAAAAAAATACTCAAAATAGTCCAGCTCACTAGCAGAGCACTATGCATATATATAACAGCTAAAGACGCAGACATAACAAGTCTGTGATATTAGACAAAATAGCTCCCTCATAAATCACTGAATCCAACAGATAAAAAAAAAAGTCAAAATAGTCTAGCTCACTAGCAGCAGAGCAATGTGAAAATAGACATGTTTACTACCCCCAACCAAAAACAGAGTGGGGATATAAGAGCTTGGTGTGATATTAGAAGAAAGATGATTTCATACCTCCCGCAGAAGCTCTGGGGGAAGACCAGTGGCTTCAAAAGACATTAGAGGCGGTGGTACTTGGCCTCCCTATGAAAAAGAAAAATGAATCTGAGTCAGTAGGATAAAGAAACTTATATAGTCAATGGTTTGTACATAAAAAATATAAACTTGAATAATATGATAACATTATTAGCTTGTCACCAAATAGGTAGTGCCACAAATGAAACTTTCTGAGTACATGAAAAGAAACCGGATGCAGAAATAGGTATGCAGCTATCTCTGTGTACTACCTCGGAGGAGAAATGAACAGATGAAACCCATAAAGAGATTCATATCTGATAGATACTTACACTGACAGTAATTTCATGTTTGCGGCAATAGGCCTCTGGGGACAATTCATTTCCTGCCGCTGAAGAAGGAGGCCCTCTGGCAGATGATCCACCAAATGCAGCATTCCCTAGTCCACTAGCAGTATCATTAGAAATTGTTGGTCCCATTCTTCCAGCCTGTTACAAATGAAAGCGAATTTGAAGATACAGTATGATCAAGAGGGATAAATCCAATGTGGCAAACAAATTGGAATCGAATTTATGAAAGTTTAGAGAGCGTAAAGGGTAGAAATCAGCCATTAACAGACATAGGTTAGTACCTCATTAAACCTTGATCCAGAGTCAGACTTAGGCCCATCACTGCCCCTACCATACTTATCCTCTTCCTTGCCAGAGTTAAATCCAGAAGAAGATTGCTGAGTAGTCTGAACCGAAGAACTTATGGGAATAGCAGCAAGCTTGGGAGGAGCGGAAGAAGATGGTCTCTCGTACTGAGTAACATTGGTCTCTGGATTCCAAAAGTAGAGATAGCCAGTTCTACTATCCACAAGACCTTTCCATGGCTTAGGAAGATTCGGATCCTCAGGAGCGTAACGAATTGCAGAAGCAGTAGCTGTAGCAGCCATACCAAATTCCTGGAAGGAGAACATGTCAAGAGCGATAAAAGCTTCAGATAAACGATCAACAGAGAGATAAAAGAAAAAACACAGCTTTGCAATTCACATCACTATCAGAAAACAAAAACAAAACAACACTAGAAGAAACTCTCAACAGAAGCAAAGCAACCCAATGACAAAGACCATCACTTTCCCAGAAAGCATGGATTTTTGAGGTCGAGAAACACACACAAAAACTAACACCAAACATATCGACAGAAAGAAGACAAAAGCGAAATTTTTTAACAAAAGGGTCTCTGATTATCTCATAAGACCACAGGTTGAGACACAACGCCAACAAAAACCCTAACATGCAGAAGAACAGATTCGACCTCGTTAGTCTTCAGACAACAAGACAAAACACGAACAAACAGAGAAATCTAACCCAGAAGCTATGGAAAAGAAAAAATGCAGCTAAAATCCCCAACTACAGAAAATGGTACGGCAAAGAGAGATATCGAGATTTCAGAACGAAGGAAAAAACGAAAATCGAGAAATGTAGGTTTTAAAAAAACTACGAACCTGATTTCACTGTCGAGAGAGTACGAGAACGAAGAGCTAAGGAAAAACCAAAGAAGAAGACCTAAATTCCTCTCTAGAAATCTACGCCACAGAGAGAAGAAGAAACGCAGAAAAGAGAGAGACTGGAGAGTGGAGAAAAGTTAGGAGTAAAATGCGTGCCGGTTCGTTTCCTAACACTATTTCAATTCTTTTATGATAATAATATCTCCTCTTAGCGGGCCCTCTCAATACCTTATTGGGCTTAATTTTCTCTTAGCTTAACTTAAAACATTTATTTGGCCCATATTATTCGACTCAAATAATTCTTTTGCTATTTTTGTATTTGCATTTTCCACCAAATTTTTATTTTATGTAGGGGTGTTATTGGTTTATTAGTTTGTAAATCCATATAGAATTTGAAAATCACTATCTCTATACTATTAAAAGAGAAGTATAAATGCAAATGGGTCGGGTCAAAATCAGAAAATTGATCCAAAATTATGAAATCGGATCTTTAAATTTTTTTTTGGAATATGATTTCTAATTAATATTTAATAATGAAAAATCGAACTAAAATATTGAAATCAAATAAAATATGATTGTATTTATGCTAATTCCATAACAATCAACGTTTTGTCATTAATTTTGCTTATTTTAGCCAATTAGCATTAATTGAAAGATATCTTACTTGCTTCAAAAGATTTCTAGAAAATTTATCACAACTAACCCATCTATTTTATAAATTAAATAGATATTTTTATTTTGGTCGTGTAAATTAAATAGATATAAAATCCATGTAACTAATTTTAATTTAATTAAATTAAACGAAATTATGGTATTTTCATACTGATAGCTTACCAAAGAAGTTTAATTTTAAAATTATAAAGATTTCTTGAATATGATTTTTAGAATTATTCAACAAGATGATATATATTTATTAAATTTTGCGAATCATGAAAAATAATAATTAATTTTTAATCGTTATATTTTACTTTTCAAAGTTTCAATCTCTCATCAAAGAAATAGGATATAGATTCTATTATTCCTATGTCCAAACTCTATTTTGTTGTATGACTAAATAATATTTCCACTAGAGCTGTCAAAGCGAGTTGATTCGTCCCGTTAAGCCCGTTTTGTGATAGGCAAAATATATTTTGACATATGGTTAGTTGGTCCACACGACCCGCATATAGCATATATGAAACACAAATTCGTCCCGCGAATGTATGCTGATTTGCGGGGTTGTCCGTGGATTTTGTTTAAATAATTTTAAAGTAATGAAAATTTAAAATACTACTAAAATAAAATATAAAAAAAAATTAGAGGAAATAATTTTATATCTCATTATATTTATAAATATTATAATTTCATTTATTAAAAGTTTTTAAATTACCAAATGTTGAATAAATTATACTTTTATCAATAAATACTAACATGCGGGCTAATCCGCCAACCCGCAGACGAAAACCGATTAAAACCTATGATCCACTGCGAATCAATCCGTGTGGCCCGTTTATTTACGGGTTTAATATATTTTCACAAATATGCCCCATAGTGAGATTATTTGGGCTCGATCCACGGTTTTTGACTTATTTTTACTGCTCTAATTCCTATGAATCATCTAATTTTAGAATTCTAAAACATAAAATTCTATTTTTAATCATAATCAATATGATCGGTTTAATTATAAAAAATTTAACATTTTCTCTACAATTCGTTATTATGAATATTTATAAGTACACTACCCGATTCGCTCAACTTAAAACACGCATTATTAAAATCAACGTATGTAAACCAATATTCTCCCGCGGTGGACCGCGGGTCCGATCCTAGTTAATTATGAAATCAAGATATATGGATTTTGAAATAACATGTGTTTACCCATGGATTTGAATCCTTCTATTTTACTCTTTCAATTCCATTCAAATCCATTTAGGAGGGGTTATTGGTTCATGGATTTATAAAAAATTAGAAATCCAAACAAAAATCATTTGTTATTCAATCATTGATTTTAAAATCCTAATTAAAATCATGTGTTATTTCTATGATTTATAAATACTAATTAAAATCCTATGTTATTCGTTTAGTCATTTTTTTTTGGATTTGAGAATCCAAATTATGTTTTAAATGGATTTGTATGGAATTGAAAGAGAAAAATAGAAAGATCAAATCTATGGGTAAACACATGTTATTTCAAAATCCATATATCTTGATTTCATAATTAATAGAGATTTTCAAATCCTATATGGATTTACAAATTAATAAACCAATAACACCCCCTTAAAACATAATTTGGATTCTTAAATCTAAAAACAAATGACTAAACAAATAACAAAGGATTTTAACTAGTATTTATAATTCATAGAATCAATAACACATGATTTTAATTAGGATTTTAAAATCAATGATCGAATAACAAATGATTTTTGTTTGGATTTCTAATTCCTTATAAATCCATGAACCAATAACCCCTTCTAGTCTCCTAAAAATCCCTCTATACCAAATCGAATCAAGTTTTTTTGAAAAACCATCTGATTCATTTATTGATATGAAATCAGATACAATAGTTGGTCATCTAAATTACAAGAAAGTTATACAAACATATCCAAGCAGAATATTGCATAAACAAAAGCATAATTAATTAGGACTATATGAACAATGAAAACTTAAATTATATGGTGCTTTTTTTTGTTGTCCTCGATAGATCAATCAATCAATCAATCAATCAATCTCTCTCTCTCTTATATATAAATTTGGTTTTATAGCCAAAAGGTTCTAAACTAGGCCATAATTTTCTCTATATGTTTTTACTTTAGAAAAAAAAAAATATACAAAAAGAAATTCCAATCTACTCATATCATTACCGATGTTACGTTCTTTTCTTGAATGAATGACCAAGAGCATCTCCAATGCACACTTCTAAATTTTCCTCTATTTTAGAGGAATTCTATTTTAGAGGAGATTTTGCTTCAATGTATCCCTCTAAAATAGAATTTCATCTAAAATAGAGGAGATAGACAATGGATTACTCTATATTTGGAACAAAATCTCCTCTAAAATAGAGAAAAATTTAGAGGTAGGCATTAGAGATGGTCTAAGCGCCTAAGCCACAAGGTAAGCTGCTCATATCTTAAGCTTTATATACGCTTTATCATATATATTTTTTTTTTGATAATAATACGCTTTATCAAATTGTTTTACAAGATTTGTTTAACTCTTTACTCTCTAGTATGTATTAAGGTTATATACTTATATTTGTGGGTTTGGTATCTCTATCCTCTAGTTCGTTCGTTTACCTTCAGATAAATATATTAGAGTCGGCGGGAAGAATAAGGTTTCTTTGTTTATACGAACAATGAAATTAAAGTATATGAACCTAACAAATTCAGATGAATTAGGACAAGATTTACGAAAACAAAGAAACAAATTTTCTTGTTCTCAACTTTCTACATATCAGAAGCCAAACAGGCGAATTTTTTTTTGTTATCTTGTTCATTGACTATTCTCACGCATCTCCTTGAGATTTCTCCAAAGGTATCTTCCGCTAGCCATATCAACGAACGTCCATAACCCATCATCCATCTTTCTCTTGTAATCGAGTCCTTGTTTATCCTTGGCTTCGGCTGGTAATGACTCGTCTGAGAAAAGTGCCGGCGTTGAATTCACCGTCCTCCACGCGATATATCCCGCGAGTACCGCTGAGAAGAACACTAATATAAACCTCAACGGACACATAATTTCTTGATGGAAAAAGGGAAAATAAGAAGAAGAAAAGAATTTGGATTTTGATGATCTCTAGGGTTTGTGAATAGACAATTGTCAGAGAAAGAGAATTAAACCGACCTTGTGATATTTATAGATGTAATCCCTCTCCCACCAAGAAAAGGAAACGCGTTTCTAAATATATCTTACTTGTAGAACAATTTATCTGTAGAAACTGTACTATTTATAATAGGGAATTTCAAAATTTTGGATTTTGGTTTTGTCATTACCAAATATCAAACTTTCTATTCTAGAAACAAATTCACAGCAATTATTTTTTTAACCAAAAGAAAGCGTAATAGGACAAATCATGAAATATCTAATAGTACATGAATATCATTGGAGTAATGTAGTTGGAGATTTTGGACTAAGCTAGACATTGGAGTCTTGCAAACGTTAAGTAACCGGTGTGACCTCTTGCTTCGCTACAAGGCCGAGCCATGACGACTGAAGTTGCATTAGAAGAGTTGTCCTGTGAAACGGTGACGTCTTCGTTTGAACGGTGTTTTCTCTTGCAAGGTCTCATTCCTTCATTGTCCTCCTCGTGGCTCTCACCAACCATGCTACTGGTGTCCATTTTCACTTCCTTCACTTCATATGTTCTGAGAAGCACCTCGAACGTTCTTATCTCTGCAGAAATCAAACACATCATGAGCAAAAAACCGGTATAAGATCGAATGAAACTCTCAAGGAAACAAGGACTTATATGCCTACGACAGTTGGTTTTGCTTCACCTGACTTTCCAAGGCCAAAGAATGTCAAACTAATTCTCTTAAGAAATTTCTCTACTTAAAGAGATCCTTTCAACTTATTAATCCAAAGATGTGTGAGTGTGACTATAGAAAGTCGACGATACATACTGGAAAAAATGGTAGACTAAAGAACAGAACTTCAGTCTATACAACATGATTTTAGTACTAGCCCCTAGGATTTGAAAATCGAGGAGAGGTTTCAGTCCCAAATTCACTACATTAGTACTTTGATTTTAGGATCCTTCCAAGGCAAGAATATTCGGATAATGGGTAGACTACAGAACTTACTTCTACAGCTCTTTTAGTTTGAACTAGAGAAGAAAGTAGAAAGAGATGCTGTAAATGAGAACAAACTTGCCTATGAAATCTGATCTGAGGACTTCACAAGTCCGTTGTACTTGCTCGATGCAAGGTGAGAAAGAGCATAGAACTCCATCCTGCTTTAACATTTTTGCTGCAGAAGGAACTGCGAGCCAAGGCTGTGGAAGGTCTAGAAACACAGAATCAGCCAAACCTGACAGTTTCTCAGGAAAACCTTCTCCTTGAATATCTCTAACCTCTACAGTTACTAAACTACTAATTCCAGTCTTCTCAAAATCTTCCCTGTTGCAAAGTAAAGAAGTATAAGAAAGATGCATAAAGACCAGATATTTAAGAAATAAAAGCACAACGACACAGCTAAACATTACAGAAGTTTCTACCTTGCAGAGACAGCTCGTTGCTCATGGAAATCAAATGAATAAACATGTCCAGTTGGAGCCACAGCTCGAGCAAGTGACGTTGAAAGCGAACCACTTCCTGTGCCTGACTCAAGAACAACACAGCCAGGCACGACTTCTAGATACATAACCACAAAGCTAATATCCGCAATGTAAAGAATCTGAGTCCTGTGGCTTAAAACCAGTGTCCATAGCTCAGGAGTAGGAGCCAACAGGTATACAAATTTACCCTTGTTGCTGAATACTTTAGTCCCTAATGGCTTCCCAATCCAATCCGAGTGTTTATACACACCAAAACGGTTCTGAAGCACAGCGTCTTTGCTTACTTTCACTGGTTTCATCACATCATGTCTTTCGTAAACGATAACTAAGTCGCCATCTTCGATATACCTTTTGAAAGATAAGGCTTTCTTTGACTCAGTTGGCAACATCTTGAGATTATGAAATCACTTGTAGATTAAGTTACAGCTTCTCTGCAATTCCAAGTCACGAGTTAAATACTAAACAACATAATTTGTTTACTCAGAAACAATGGAATCTCACAAACAACAATGTAAAATCCCAATTGAATTATCAAAATCCAGAGCTAAGCAATATTAACCAGTCAACCACATTGATATCAATATCTTCGTAATAATCAGCTAGTAAACAATTTATTGTTTGATTACGGATACCACAACCTAGGTTTCAACAAAGAAGCACAAATTTCTGACACAAGTGGTTAATAAACAGGAAACCAAACACAATAACCAGACAAATCGACAGCTTCTATAAGAAAAGAAGCAGAAAGAATAGTAAAACAATAGCGTAAAAAATACTCACAGAGGAAAATCAAGTAGAGAAGCTAAGGACTTGAGCTGAGCTATAACAATGGAGTTTGGTGAATGATGTTTGTGAGAACAAATCTGACCAGACAGAAGAGAAAAACCTCTTAGTAGGGTTTTTGCTTTCCTTTTTTTTTTTTTTAACTCAAATCCAGATACGGAGACTAACCGGACCAAATTACAGATTCGATACATTTAACCGGCCGGTCCCGTTTGATATTTATAGGAAAAAAGGAAATTTGATTGGGCCTTTAGTTTTAATTTGGGCCCACTGAAATAATCTATACTTCTCTCTTTTGTTTCTCTGTCTCTTTCCTTTTCGCCGGAATCGTCGTCATTGAAACTCAGAGCACGCTTTAGCAATAAACTTGGCGAAGCTATTTCAGATTCAGAGGTCGAAGTTGAAGGAAAGATTAGAGGTCGGAGTATCGGATGCTGAATAAGCTCACGCACGGCGTTTTCACGTACCGTGCCAGCCTCACCGCCATGTTATCTTCTTCAACCTCTGCTGGTTTATCGTCTTCGTTCGCTTCTACTAGGAATTCATGGAAGTCTCCGGGATTTCTCAGTTCCGGTATATTCTCTGGTGGCGCTTCGATGAATCGTGTTTCTTTTCACGTTCAGTCTCATCGCGCATCAGCTGTTCGATGTTTTGCCTCTTCAGGCGGTTCTGATAGAATTCAGGTTCAGAATCCTATCGTTGAAATGGACGGTGAGATTCTTTGCATAATATTAGTGTTCCTTACTTACGTTTGATTATAGTTGCCAGATAATTGGTTGGATTGGTACAAGTCATTTGCTTATGTTCTTACTGAATTTTGTATCTTTGAGAATGTTTTTAATTTGTTTGTATGTTGTGGAAATACAGGCGATGAAATGACGAGGGTGATATGGAGTATGATAAAGGAGAAAGTAAGGAATCAATTTATCATCAAGTCTGTACCATTTGATTTCATTTTTTTATTTTTTTTTTGACGGAGCTCACATGTCTGATTTGTTATGTTTGCAGCTTATTCTTCCTTATCTGGATTTGGACATTAAGTACTTCGACTTGGGGATTCTGAATCGTGATGCTACTGATGACAAGGTTACAGTTGAAAGTGCAGAAGCAGCTCTTAAGTAAGTACTACTGATTCTTTACATTTTCTATGGTTTAGATTCTTTTAGCATTAGAAAAAAAAATTAATTCGATGCTACTCTTTCTCTGTGTGGAATAAGCTGATTTAGCGCTTAAAACTTTCCTGTTTTCAGGTACAACGTTGCTATCAAATGTGCCACTATAACTCCTGGTATGTGATGTTCTTCACAACACATATGCTGCTTATTCGCATCAGAGGAAGCATTTTTATATCTTTTCTAATGTTTTTTTTTGCAGATGAGGGTAGAGTGAAGGAGTTTGGACTGAAATCAATGTGGAGGAGTCCTAATGGGACAATCAGAAACATTTTAGATGGTGTGTCTCTGTATTGTCAAAGAACAATGCATGTTTGCAGAATAAGAATATCTTGATTATATTGCTTGACTTGTTATTTCATCCATTCAGGTTCTTTTTCAATCTTCATATTTCTTACATAATGTTCTATATTTTTCTAGGTACTGTATTCCGTGAACCTATTATGTGCAGCAATATCCCCCGGCTTGTTCCTGGTATTTTTCTTTGCCTTGTTATGAATCTGTGTTAGGATCTGTATTGAGATACCACATGAGAACTCAAATCGTTTGTCTTTATAGGTTGGAAAAAGCCTATATGCATTGGTAGGCATGCCTTTGGTGACCAGTATCGTGCCACTGATACAGTAATTAAAGGGCCAGGAAAGTTGAAAATGGTTTTTGGTAAGACCATACCAAACTATATTCATTAGACAATGAGGATTCTCTAATCATATAGTTCAGATTCTAAGTTAATATATCTCTTTGTCTAATTAGTCCCAGAAGATGGAAACGCACCTGTGGAGCTAGATGTATATGATTTCAAAGGCCCAGGTGTCGCACTTGCTATGTACAACGTAGATGAGGTCTGTCTCTTTTAGTAACTGGTTTTAGTTTTGGCATGGTTTTAGTTTGTGACAACCATGCTGGTTTTGTGACATTCCAGTCCATTCGAGCTTTTGCTGAGTCATCTATGGCGATGGCATTAACTAAGAAATGGCCACTATACTTGAGCACCAAGAACACAATTCTCAAGAAATATGATGGCAGGTTTGTTTTTATCTTCTTGGTGATTTCCAATTCCGGGTTTTCAGTAAGCGAGCTGCTTTAATATGTGGTGGAACAATACAGATTTAAGGACATATTTCAAGAAGTTTATGAGGCGAATTGGAAGCAAAAGTTTGAAGAGCACTCAATCTGGTTAATATCTATATGCTCTTACTTAAAAATTGTGTTCTGCGTCCTCTTTCTTTACATATTCAGTAAAGGTATTATGTAAATGGTATTGGTGGTTTAGGTATGAGCACCGCTTAATCGATGACATGGTGGCTTACGCAGTCAAAAGTGAAGGTGGCTATGTCTGGGCTTGCAAAAACTACGACGGTGATGTTCAAAGCGATCTTCTTGCCCAAGGTATAAATTCAAAAATATAGTTCTTTACTTATTATTTTTGTATCGATACAGCAAATAAGATACTTACGACTTCCTTTCTTTTTTCCAAATGTAGGGTTTGGCTCATTAGGCCTCATGACCTCCATTTTGGTTTGTATCGATAACCGAAAGCCAAGATTCAATTTGTCTTTGCAAATGAAAGTCTTGATATGATATGTTTTGTTCAGCTGTCCGCTGATGGGAAAACACTCGAGTCGGAAGCGGCTCATGGAACAGTAACTCGGCATTTCCGACTGCACCAAAAGGGACAAGAAACCAGTACTAACAGCATAGCCTCCATATTTGCATGGACACGCGGCTTAGAACACAGGTCTCGTCTTCCACACACGGCTTTATCATCCTTTGTTTTAGGATTCTAGTTATATTAGCTAACTAAATTCTGCATTTCTTCATGCATTTACCTATTCCACTTACAACGTTCTTGTGATATGTAATCTAGTTTCTCCTGATCATCATTTTGATGGGATTTTTTTACCCTATTTGCTTCTCAAGGGCGAAACTGGATAAGAACGAAAAATTAATGGATTTCGTGAAGAAGCTAGAGTCGTCATGTGTAAACACTGTTGAGACAGGGAAAATGACCAAGGATCTTGCCCTTTTAATCCATGGTCCCAAGTAAGTAGTCTTTCCTATTCTTACTAGCAGCTACTTTTCCATTACAACCTGGTCATTTGCATGAAATACGAAGGAGCTTAAACCGTCTTTGAACTTTAATCTGAAATCAAATCCAAACTGATCCGGTTCCAAGCTGATGATTGTGCTTGAAACTCTAATTAAGTTGTGTATTTTGATAGAAAACCATATAGGAGCCTAACCGATTCATACTGGATTCAGTTTAAATGCTGTTACTGTTCTATTATCGTTCTTGATGGTGAAATAAAACATTTTAAATGCAGGGTGAGTAGGGATTTGTTTTTGAACACGGAAGAGTTCATTGATGCAGTAGCCTCTAAGCTCAAAACCCAGCTCAAAGAGCTTCCTCTTGTCTGATCTCAAAAGAAGAAGAAAAAAGAGCTTCCTCCTCTGGTCTGACCATTCCCGGGAAGTGGGAACAATACAAAAATAATGCTCGCAACAATTTCATAACCTAACATGAAAATAATATTGGTGGGTTTGAATGAATTTTTTGTTGGAAATAAACGTTTTTGTTTCCATTTTCCAAAGCTGTTTTTAGAATTTGAGTGACAGTATCTGTTTTCAATTTATTATCAAACACTAATTTATACATACACTAAAAACTGATCAGCGAGCGGTATGAAGAAATTTTCAATTTTGTATTTCATTTCAGGAGATAAAAATAACAGAAAATTATGTGTCCACCCTTCTTTAATGTTCAAGGATCAAAAACTAAAACAGGGATCATAGAAATCGGTTTAATGATTGGAAAATTCGATTATTTATAGAAGAACCGTACCGGACCGGGATCGCTAAAACCCTCTCTTCTTTTAGTTTTCGTTGTCGGCTCCGTAGTCTCAGTCTCACCGGTGCGTTAAACCCTTTCCGTTCGCCTTCCCTCTCTCTCTCTACTACTCCACATCTCCCACTCTCTCTGTGTATGTATAATGTCATCGATTGTGAATCGAGCTAGGTCAACATCTCTTCCTAATTTCCTCGCATGGCGTGCTTTGGGTTTTCGCACCATCTGCTCCGGCCGCCTTGGTTTCGCTCCGTCTAATCCAGACTCGCCGGCCTCTGCAGGAACCAAAATTTTGGAGTCTTTTAAGGAGGAATTCGAAGTCGGATCCCGAGTGGTCTCCTTTGAGACGGGAAAAATCGCCCGCTTTGCAAATGGGTCCGTCGTCCTCGGCATGGACCAGACCAAAGTGCTCTCTACTGTTACTTGTGCTAAGACTGACTCGCCTCGGGACTTCTTGCCTCTCACTGTGTGTTACACATATTTCCACCATTTCCGTTTAGTTTGATTTTGTAGCTATTATTAGTGAATCTATCATCTGTTAGGAATTAAGAAATTGTCTAGAGATGTTTTCGTATGTTTCTGCTGTATGTATTTTTGTAGAATTCTCTCAGGAATCTGTCATTGAAATTGCTTTTTCTGTAATGGGTTGATGGTGTTTTGTTTAAACTGATACTTCTTGGAAACTACTGTCAGGTTGACTATCAAGAGAAGCAATACGCTCAGGGTTTGATTCCAAATACGTATATGCGAAGAGAGGGTGCACCAAAGGAGCGGGAGCTGTTATGTGGCCGGCTCATTGATAGACCAATCAGACCATTGTTTCCTTCAGGGTTTTACCATGAAGTTCAGGTATGATAATTTCTAAAAAAACCCTTGAGATATAAAGATCTATGTGGAAGTTTTTTTCTGGGTATCTTCATTTCTTAATTTGGTCACATTCAGATAATGGCTAGTGTTCTATCGTCGGATGGGAAGCAGGATCCAGATATACTGGCAGCTAATGCATCATCAGCTGCGCTCATGCTATCAGATGTTCCATGGGGAGGGCCCATTGGAGTCATCCGGATAGGAAGGATATGTGGGCAATTTGTTGTCAATCCGACTATGGATGAGGTAAAAAGTGGTACATTGGTATATTCTCTAAATTTACAAATTGTAGCCTCTGTTTCATTGTTTGTACTCTTTGTTGTGGTCAAACTCTGTATAGCTTAGCTCAAGTGATCTCAATTTGATATACGCTTGCACAAGGGATAAGACTATGATGATTGATGTTCAATCCCGTGAAATCTCAGAGAAAGATTTAGCAGCTGCTCTGAGGCTGGCTCATCCAGAGGTAGGTTCGAGAACCTTTGTTGGATGTCCTAGTACAATGTAATATTATATAGTGTTGACTTTCTTTTTTACACAGGCTATTAAGTACCTTGATCCCCAAATAAGATTGGCAGAAAAAGCTGGGAAACAAAAGAAGGAGTACAAATTGTCCATGCTTTCTGAGAAAACTTTAGAAAAAGTGACTGACTTGGCTGCAACACGTATTGAATCCGTCTTTACCGACCCTTCATATGGAAAGGTGCGTGTTCGCTTTGTTTCCATCGGAAAAGTGGTTTTTCATCTGCTAGCCTGATATTTTTATATATCCAGTTTGAACGTGGAGAGGCTCTAGATAACATTGGAAAAGATGTAAGAAAAGTATTTGAAGAAGAGGGTGATCAAGAAAGCTTGAGCATCCTTCCAAAGGCTGTTGATACAGTGAGAAAGAAGGTAAGCTTTGTAAATCAATATTTTGAAATATACTTTGTTACTCTTTGCTCTTGTTTTGGGCGATCCTGTTCTGATAAACTTGACATAAAAACTAGTGCTTGAATCAGATAATGAAAATGTTCATAATTGAATAGCAATATCAACTCTTTTTTTTTGTCTAATCTATCTAGGCCAGACTCTACGATGTTTGTGAAAATAGTTGGTTAGTTCTTTGTTACTGAGATAGTTGAGATGCTCTTTTTCATTTTAAGACACATTAAAATGTATGGATCTTAAGAGCTTTCAGAGATTGCGTAGACAGCCACTAGTGATGTGTTATAGGCTTTTGCATTTGTCCTATTCTTCCCCGCCTTACTACTTTGTCCCTTTAACTACAATATCAGGTAGTCCGTTCAAGGATGATATCAGATGGATTTCGAGTCGACGGAAGACATCTTGATGAAGTTAGGCCCATCTACTGTGAATCGCATTACTTACCTGCGCTGCATGGATCAGCACTTTTCTCACGTGGAGATACGCAGGTTTGTCCTCAAACTTTAGCTGCAGGGTGTATAAAATAATGGGAGAAACTTTTTCCCAATAACGCCTATAGTTGTATACCTTTTGAACCAAACAAAAAAAGGGAATCTCATGGTATTAGGTAGCAGAAGGTTTCTGTACTTTGTATCACTTCTGAAGGTTGCTTTCCTAGCTTAGTTTCATTTTCTTTTCGCTTCAAAAGGTGCCTGAAGTGTTAAATTAAAGCTTAATCAGTTCACTGCATTCAATGAGAATCTTACTTAAAGATGTTTCGTATGTGTATTAAAAGGTGCTCTGTACTGTCACACTTGGAGCCCCGGGAGAGGCACAAAGCTTGGATTCCCTTGTTGGCCCCCCGAAAAAGAGATTTATGCTTCACTACAGCTTTCCACCATATTGTACAAATGAAGTCGGAAAACGAGGAGGCCTTAACAGGCGTGAAGTTGGTCATGGTAAAATCTTTGGTTTCCTTTCTCTATTTGCATTTAATGTCCTAATTCACATTTTTCAAACAAAATATTGCTGGTACATTTTATCCTCAAGTTTCCCTATCTTTTTTCATCTAAGGAAACTTTTTTGTGCTTTATGCTTGACAGTGTTTTACATTTTCTGTAGGAACACTTGCTGAGAAAGCATTGCTTGCTGTCTTGCCCCCTGAAGAGGCTTTTCCTTATACTGTTCGTATAAATTCAGAAGTAATGTCCTCAGATGGATCCACGTCGATGGCAAGTGTTTGTGGAGGTATATATACTCACTCACAGACCAGTGTGTATTGTGTTTTTGCAAGCCAGTGCAAACTACCATATGTTTCTATGTTAACTTCATAATGAAAGGTGTTCCGCTTCTCAGGTAGTATGGCATTGATGGATGCCGGAATTCCTTTGCGAGCTCATGTTGCGGGTGTATCCGTTGGTCTTATCACCGATGTAGATCCATCAAGTGGTGAAATAAAGGACTACCGTATAGTAACCGATATTCTCGTGAGTTCTCTTATTTTAATTTGTTGTCTTTTCTTTTATATGGTTTGTTATGAGATTAATCATGAAACTGAAATGTGTTGCAGTGCAATAGTTAATTTAACCTTTGTTTGTCTATAACCATGAGTAGTACTAAGTTGCTAAAATGGATTTTATAGAACTACATACAATGATTTCTCAGGGTTTGGAAGATCATCTTGGAGATATGGATTTCAAGATTGCTGGCACACGAAATGGTGTGACGGCGATTCAGCTGGATATAAAGCCAGCTGGAATACCATTGGACATAGTTTGTGAATCCTTAGAAAATGCACGTGAAGCCCGTCTTCAGATTCTTGACCACATGGAGAGAAACATAAATTCCCCCCGAGCCCAGGATGGGGCTTATTCACCTCGGCTAGGTTTTTTTCCCACTTGTTTTTTCTTTAACCTTAGCTAATAGAATTTCCCCTGCTCAAACTCCAGAATTATGTCTGTCTTGCAGCAACGTTCAAGTACACCAATGACTCACTTCGTAGCTTGATCGGACCTATGGGTGTACTCAAAAGAAAGATTGAAGAGGAAACAGGTGTTTTCTTGACTTCAACTTTAATTGTTAAAAGCTTCTTTCTTGTGACCTTCAAAGACTTTAGAATTGAATAACTCATTTTGAATTGAAAAGGTCAAGTGCTTTTAAGAAAGTAGATTCAAAATGCAATTCATAAACTTATGAATAATATCCACTTGGTTTCTTATAGTTTGGTTTGAAGATTTTTTCTGATAAATAAGTTTCTTTTTTTAGGTGCAAGATTGTCTATTGATAATGGAACATTAACTATTGTTGCCAAGAATCAGGATGTGATGGAAAAGGCCCAAGAAAAGGTATCTTTCTGTCAACTCAGCTTTTAATTGATCAATGATTTTCCATAAATTCTGATTTTATGCATGTCCTTAGGTTGACTTCATCATTGGTCGTGAAATAGTTGTTGGTGGCGTGTACAAAGGCACAGTGACATCTATAAAAGAGTATGGTGCATTTGTTGAGTTCAGTGGTGGTCAGCAAGGTCTACTACATATGTCTGAGCTATCTCATGAACCAGTAAGCTTTCTTAGGGACAAACTGTGTCCGCATGTTTTCCCCTGAGTATGGTTTTCTCAATTAAACCTAAATGTTTTCATCTGCCAAATCTTAGAACGACGATCTCAGAGCTTTATTTTCTTTGCCATTACTCTAGTTGAGATTTGGTTTATACTTACCATGTCTTTATGCAATCCTCCAGGTCTCCAAGGTTTCAGATGTATTACATATTGGCCAGTACATCACTACGATGTGCATCGAAACCGATGTCCGGGGTAACATTAAATTATCCCGCAAAGCAATGTTGCCCAAACCCGAGCGCAAACCAGCATCTGATGCTGGAAAAGACTCGGTGATGAAAGAGTCGTCAACTGTCTACACAGAAACGTCTAGTGTTGGAGAGACTGTTGCAAGCATGCCCAGTATCGTAACGCCACCTCAGAAATCTAAATTATCAGTTCCTGCAGTTGTCATCCGTACTGCTGTGGAGTGTCATGAGGCAGAGAAATCTTCCCCTGTGAACAAGAATGACAAACCCAAACGCGCTACGACACCGAAGCCAGACCGGAAACCCAAATCCACTGCCTCTAAACTGACTGCGACACAGAAGGAAGAGGAGGTACTCGAATCCATTGCTCCAGAAGAAACTCCAGCTGAATGCGGTGAGACACTGAAGCAGGACGGGAAGCTAAAATCCGCTTCGCCCAAAAACAGTAGCACTGATTCTAACCTAGTATCATCTTCAAAAGCTAAGAAATCAACTAGGAAGGAGAATCAATCAGAGAACAAGGCTGAAGAGAGTGCATTCGTTAGTACCCGAAATCTGAAAATAGGAACAGAAATGACGGCCAAGGTCCACGAGATTCGAGCCCGTGGATTGGTTCTTGATTTAGGTGGTGAACTACGTGGTATGTACAAATTCAAGGTATGTTTCAGAAAATTCCCCTTTGACATGTTCCCCCATGTTCTTGAGTTAACTTTTGAGGTGATATACTTAACTCTTGCTTTGTATTGATGCTTACTATGTATGAATACAGGAAGATGAAGAGACAGAGTTTGAAGAGGGAGACACATTGCAAGTGAAATGTACAAGTTTTAGTACTAAAGGAATCCCTGTGATGGCTTTGGTTGACGAAGAGGGAGAAGAATAGTGGTAAACTCTCTTTCCTCTCTAGAAGGTTTTTAACCCAAGGTTCATACGAGAGTTTTGCTTGAAATGTTTTTAATATACGGATCGAATCAAGAGAAGATCGTTAGCTGCTTTTGATGAGCAAATCTTGGTAGATAGATTCATTGGCGTCACAACTTGAGGAAAACTAACGAAATCAGTTAGCGTAACTCGTCTTTTACTTTGGCCTTGCTCCGATTTAGTAGCAATAACCGGATAGACCAAAGAGAAATTGAACCAGACTGGTGATGTGCCGTTTTGTTTCTCTTTTATTGGGTGGTTTTGTGGAACCGAAAGTGGATTGTATGGTTTAGTGTTTTAGTAACTGACGTATGAAAGGTGCGTAACGTTAAGTTTCATCTTTTTTGTCCAATTTCTACAAGAATACAAAACCACAAAAACCCAAGTCGGCAGCTAAAGATAGAAACTGCGCATCCCAATGGCATTTCTTGAAAGATATTATTTGTCCGAATATCTTTTTTCCTACTACAAATTAATACCAACAATTGATGTTAAAAATTTAATTTAAGCCATGAGAGTAGGAATGAATTTCATATTTTGATTGAATTTATAACGTAAGCATTTAGGTCTTTTTGTGAATTAGAATTACACTCGGAAGTTGCCAAAAGTTTGCCTCTCAGTCATTTTAATGTTTCATGAAGATTTAAATTCAAAGATAATGTACATTGGGTGGTCGTCTATAAGTAAGAGTCATCATCAACGAGTTTCTTCTACTCCGAGAGACATGGAGCCATCTCAAGGCAACACCAAAACGCCGTCGTTTCCAGATTCCACTATCCCTGTGGATTCCGATGGCCGAGCCACCGTCTTCCGACCATTCTCTCTCTCCTCGCCGCACTCACGAGCCTTTCACCTAGCGTGGCTCTCACTCTTCTCATGCTTCTTCTCTACCTTCTCCATCCCTCCTCTCGTGCCCGTCATCTCTTCCGACCTCAACCTCTCTGCCTCCACCGTATCCACCGCCGGAATCGCCTCCTTCGCTGGCTCTATCTTCTCTCGCCTCGCTATGGGACCACTCTGTGATCTCATCGGACCACGGACTTCCTCAGCGATTCTCTCTTTCCTCACCGCTCCTGTAATCCTCTCCGCCTCACTCGTCTCCTCTCCGAGGTCCTTCATACTCGTCCGTTTCTTCGTCGGCTTCTCGCTCGCTAATTTCGTAGCTAATCAGTACTGGATGTCCTCCATGTTCTCCGGTAACGTCATTGGTCTCGCTAACGGTGTCTCAGCCGGTTGGGCTAACGTCGGCGCTGGTATCTCTCAGCTACTCATGCCTCTCATATACGCAACCATCGCCGAATTCTCCCCACGCTCCATCGCCTGGCGCGTGTCATTCGTATTTCCCGCCATTTTTCAGGTTACAACCGCTGTCCTCGTTCTCCTCTACGGCCAAGATACTCCCAACGGTAACAGAAAAAACTCGAACCAGAACAAAATCATAAATCCTGAAGAAGAAGTATTAGTAGTACAAGGAGAAGAAGGACGTTCCAGTTTTGTCGAGATCCTAATCGGCGGACTAGGAAATTACAGAGCGTGGATCCTGGCGCTTCTCTACGGATACTCGTACGGCGTCGAGTTAACGACGGACAACGTGATCGCCGGATATTTCTACGAGAGATTCGGCGTGAATTTAGAGGCAGCGGGGACGATCGCGGCGAGTTTCGGGATATCGAACATAGCGTCGCGACCGGCGGGAGGGATGATATCGGACGCGCTGGGAAAAAGATTCGGGATGAGAGGGAGGCTCTGGGGACTGTGGGTGGTGCAATCGGTGGCTGGGTTGTTGTGCGTGTTACTCGGACGAGTCAACTCGCTCTGGAAATCAATCGCCGTCATGTGGGTCTTCTCTGTTTTCGTTCAAGCTGCTTCTGGCCTCGTATTTGGCGTGGTCCCTTTCGTCTCCACGAGGTTTGTTTCAGTGTACCAATTCGGTTTTGTTAATAATTTCGGTTCGATTTTAATTTGGTATGGTTTGGTTTACTTTATAATGACAGATCGTTAGGAGTGGTGGCGGGAATAACGGGAAGCGGCGGCACTGTAGGTGCTGTGGTGACGCAGTTTCTGTTGTTTTCCGGTGATGGTGTTCGAAAACAGAAAAGCATTTCACTTATGGGTTTGATGACTTTTGTGTTTTCTCTGTCTGTTACATCTATATACTTTCCACAATGGGGTGGAATGTGTTGTGGGCCTTCCGAAGAAGAAGATTTATCTCGGCGACTCCTTGTAGAAGACGAAGAGGAAGACGATAAAGTGACTAGTGGTAGACTAAATCCCGTTTGTTGATTCTGCGTTTGAACTGTTGGCCATTTGGCCTAAACAAAGGCAATGGCAAAGTATTAATATCTTTTGCTATTGGGGATTTTGTGGATCGAAATGTTTATGTGACTCAAGGACGAATGTGATGTTATCAAGTCAAAGAGTCTATCAAATTCTCTTATATATGTTCTTGATTGTGTTAAAATTCTCCTTACACAGACAGAAACTTGCAAAATAAGCCAGAATTAATTTGTATACGACCCTCTTTGTATAATCTCTTGTAACAGTTTAGACTAAGTGAGTCTAACAAATCAACATGTTTATACTAATCTTAAAAGATGTTGACGTAAGAAAGAAAAATAAAAGAAACTAATTAACATCACAATCGTTTTGATTCGGTTTCTTGCTTACTCTGTTTCTTTGGCAGTCTTCTTTTGTTAAAGAACAAAGAGCAAGAAAATTAAAGTAGATGAAAGCGTATATTATAGATAGGTACGTAATAAGATTACCAAGAGTTACTATGTTTTTATTTGTAATTTAATTCGTAAATAAAAGAAAAACGAAATTACATAAATAAAAACTTACACCATTAAGTAAACGAATAAAGCCACGGCGTTGCCTTTGATAAAAGATGTGGACGGTAGAGAAAGAGCTCAGCAGGGGTGACCTGAGTTAACACATGAAACCGAGAGATGTAATAATGACGTAGCGTCATTTACAGCCGTTGATTGCTCATATGTTCTCATGTCGACCCTGTCGAGATCCACTACCTTAACGATATTTTTCTATCTTCTAGCGGCCAGTAATAAAAGGTTTGTTACAATTTGAGTTTCCTTCAAAAACTGCTGAGGGCTATGTATATATATACACAACAAAAATGCTGAAGGATTGTGTAGTACACAATATTACCACACAAATTGCAAATTTGCAGTACACAAGTAACACAACACAACATACGGGCCAACGTTTTGTTGCATTCATATACGTTTTCTATAGTACAATAAAAAAACTAGAGAACTATATATGTACTGCAAAATTGATTGATCTAAAAGAAAATCAACATTGTACTTCTCTGAAAATACAACGGCGAGTTTTGTACTAGTTGGAACGTCAAAGATGCCCCCACGTGTTTGTTTAACTTTTTTTCACAGTAGATAATTCTTTCGCGAACCAGTTTTGTGTAATTTTTGAATCCTGTCGAAAAAAATAAAATAATAATTTGGACCGGGCTTAAAATATCCCAGTGGAAGTGTTGGCTTTAAGAAAAATCAGAGAGAGGCCCACTTCACCAGCTCTACTCATTGTCATTGATTCACCTGCAATCTCTTTCTTTCTCACTCTCCAAGTCTCCCTCTGTGAAAGCTGAAAGCTCATCTTCTTCTTCCACGTGATTTCTCTTCCCGTTCGCTAATTGCTCTCCCTTGCGTTCGACGCCATCTTCCTTGGAGTTCCACTGAATTTCAAGTAGATTCTTCCATGTTCGATCTGATCCGGCTCCAGAGATCGAGAGTTGAATCGCCTCGAAACAGCTCGAGTTTAACGATAGACGCGCGACAGGAGGATAGAGAGATATTCGGAGCTGCGTATACAGTCCGATTGACTATGTGAAGTCTGATTTACGGAGGCAAATGGCGGGAAAATTGACTTGAGCGCGATTTACTGTGTCGATCCAAAATGAAGAAGAAGGTGTCGCAGCAGAAGTTACTGTACAGATGGAAGAGGAAGGTATACGCCACGTTGATGTTCGCTTTCTGCTTGGGGACTTTCGTATTTATCCAAGCTCGTTTCAATGGAATCACTGCGTCTCTCGATTCGCTGAAGAAGCCTCGTCTCGATCAGAAACCACAGATTGCCTTCCTATTCATTGCGCGGAATCGACTCCCTCTCGAGCTTGTCTGGGATGCATTCTTTCAGGTATACTCTTCTCCTTATCTAATTGGGTTCAGAAACACTGATTCTAGTATTTGAGGATCAGATGTGAAATTTCATAGCTGCAGCGAACTAGCGAGGTATAGTGGTAGAGGTTTGGGAATCAGATAATCTGATTCCCCTGAGAATTTTTGGACGATTTCTCAGTTGGAATGTGTACTCTTAGCAATAAAATCATGTGTAATAATGACAATGGCCGCTTTTACTGATTCTTCTTTAAAGATCTGGTCAAAGCCATGTTGAAGTACTGAGCTTGGTCCATGATGATATATGTGCTTTTGCAGGGTGAGGATGGCAAGTTCTCAATATATGTTCACTCTAGACCTGGATTCGTTCTCAGCGAGGCTACAACGCGATCCAAGTTCTTCTTGGATCGCCAAGTTAATGACAGTATACAGGTGGCTGATACGAGAATGTATCAATTTACCAAATCATGAATTTTTCATTTGCAGCATTATTTTTTTAAAAGTCGTCTGATTCAATTGCTAATTACAGGTTGATTGGGGTGAATCGACCATGATTGAAGCAGAACGTGTATTGCTCAGACATGCACTTAGAGATCCATTTAATCACCGCTTTGTTTTTCTTTCTGATAGGTGAGATTGATTCTGTATATACCTTTTCATGTCTGGATTGCAGTTGCTCACTTTCCTAACTAAATTTCAGTTTGTTTGGTTTCTTCTCAGCTGCATACCTCTGTACAGTTTCAGCTACACGTATAACTACATCATGTCAACACCTACTAGTTTCGTTGATAGGTCCGTGCTGGTTAAATACATAACTCCATACTTCAACTTTGACTCCGACAATGTTTATGTTATAATCACTAAATATTTTTCTTTATTGCAGCTTTGCAGATACAAAAGATAGCCGTTATAATCCTAGAATGAATCCCATTATTCCTGTTCATAACTGGAGAAAGGGATCACAGGTGAAGTTCCCATCCCTTGTTGTGTAAAATGTATTTCTGAATGAATATGAATTCTGTCATTCTGAATGTGTGCAGTTTAACTGACATTTTCTCTGCTATGTTTTCTTTATCCTATTGTCTTCTCGAAGTGGGTCGTTCTGAATAGAAAACACGCAGAAATTGTGGTGAATGATACCTCCGTCTTTCCTATGTTTCAGCAGCATTGCAGGGTAAGTTGTTGAAACCTTCACTTCATTAGCAAGCTTGGGAATACTGTTATTGAATTTATGAGCTGTCCTCTAGTATGATACTGTAAAGAGGGAGGATGTGTACTCTTTATTTTCATTCATTAATTTTCAAAATAAAGATGGTTTGCTGCCAAGAGAGACTTATTAGAACCACTTATATTAGATTTGGGTGTTATTGTTGCTTTGTAAGTAGACTGTTCACTGTTGGCTCACTCATAAACTTTTTTTTGCATATGATCTTGCAGAGAAAATCACTTCCAGAGTTTTGGCGAGATCGTCCTGTAGTAAGTTGATTTTCTCTGGTCACATATTTAATTACCGCACCATATGAAGTTATTAACAGTTCCTCCTCACCCGTAAGCTCATGCTCATTCGATTCCTGCACTTTTAGTCTGTAGAATCTGGCAGGCATTTACGGTTTGATGACCAGGATACGATGTGTTGTACTAATGTAGTCTTATTGTGTAGCCAGCTGAAGGTTGGAAGGAACACAACTGTATACCTGATGAGCACTACGTTCAGACATTGCTTTCTGTAAGATTAATGTTTGATCCAACCATATGCGTTGTCGTTTAGAAATGAATGGTACAAGTAATCAAATCTGGTAATGCTTCTTAAATTTTCAGCAAAAGGGTGTGGATAGCGAACTCACACGACGATCACTGACACACTCAGCTTGGGACCTTTCTTCCTCTAAAAGTAATGAACGTCGTGGATGGCATCCTATGACTTACAAGTTTTCTGATGCTACTCCTGATCTTATACAGTCCATTAAGGTACACCTCCGTAAGACCAACCTTTTCTTTGGTAGAACTAAAACTCTCGATTAAAATGTATGTAATCTTCTTCTTTTTTCTTGATATAGCTATAACCAATTGCAAACTTAAAACAGAAATAGAATCTCTAACCAAACACATTGATTCACAGGGAATCGACAATATCAACTACGAGACTGAATACCGGCGAGAATGGTGTAGCCATAAAGGTAAACCGTCGCCGTGCTTTCTCTTCGCCAGGAAGTTCACTCGTCCCGCAGCTCTCCGCCTACTCCGTGAAGTAAACTTTTCTTTCACAATCATCGCTTAAACTAAGAAATTAACATCACAAACATTATGATGAACTCATGGTGGGTTTCTTTGCTTCCTCTGTTTCTTTGGCAGTCTATCTTGTTAGAGGACAAAGAGCAAGACAATTAAGTAGATCCTTCACCATTCATAGCATATATTACACATAGGTACGTAAGATTACCAAGAGTTATTATGTTTGTACTATTTGTGATTTCAGTTGTAATACAACAGATATCGAATTTACATAGAAACTTACACCATTTGGTAAACGATAAAAGCCACGGCATTGATAAAGATGGTCGGTAGAGAAAGAGCTCAGCAGGGGTGACCTGAGAACACATGTAACAATGACGTGGCGTCATTACAGCCGTTGATTACACATGTGTCCTCATATCAACCCTGTCGAGATCCACTACCTTCAAAATATATCTTCTCTTCATTACAATTTGAGTTTCGGTTTGTCTCAAACATGCTGGAAACTATATATACACAGACAAGGAAGGGATTGGGTAGTACACAATAATACCACAACAATTGTGTAGTACACACGGGCAAGTTTTGTTGCATTCATTTACGTTTTGTATAGTACAAGAAAAAACTTCGGACTTGTGTACTGCAGAATTGATTAAAAGAAGAAAATCATCATTGTACTTTTATGAAAGTACAACGGCGAGTTTTGTACTAGCAATTTTTCCGGTATTAAAAGTTTTCTATGGTCCCTATATTCTATATTTAGATCAAAATGACCTCACAATTACGAAAACTGGGAAAGTTATAAAAGCCCAAATTATTCAATTTGGTTTAATAACTTGCGTGGAGTGGAGAGTGGGGAAAAAGTAATAAAAGCCCATATTCATTGTGCGATTGACAAAGCCTACAAAAGAGAGAGCGCGTGATTTTGCATATATTGGTTTTAGTCCCACATCGTAAACACACAGAGAAAGACAACAACCTCAAGTCATATATAAATATGGAAATAGCATTCGTCTATAATTCACGGAGCCGTGCGATAAGCACATAGCGAACTATTCTTTCGCCTTTTACTAAAGAATACCGTGTGCTTGTCGTACTAAGCGGCATGCGCCTATTTTTGGAGGGTTGTCTCTTATTGAGATCAACTCTATCAATCATTAACTTGAAAATTTTCTAAATAAACCAAATTTCCTCAACGATCTATAAACCTAAAATTTCTTAGCTGTTCTACAATAAACTACTTATGAGCTGATTTACGTGAAAGTAGTCCCATATCGGAAGGGTATTTCCAAAACAAAGCCGAAGTTTTGCTATATAAAGGATCACGATTTACTTAACAAAGCATACCTTTCTCGGCCTTTTGAGCTAAGATCAAGTGTAGTATCTGTTCTTATCAGTTTAATATCTGATATGTGGACCATCGGTTCACACGATATTAACTCAATTTATTTAGGTAGTGAGCCATCACAATAGCTTGCTATTTGTGCTCACAATCGTCGCCCATGTGTTGCACTATTGCAAGGGCTTGGCGTATCCCACCAATCACAGTGTTAAAGATTTTTTTGGTCTAATTATATTCACTCATACACGTAAATGCAGTAAAATCCTGCTTTGGAGTAGGAGAAGGTAAATAATCGTTGGAGAAGAAGGTAAATAGTCATGGGCTCGTTAAGTCTCCAAGTCCAATGGGCTAAACCAACTCTTCAAAATGGGTGATGTTGACACGGTACAGTAGAAATTATTAATGCTGCTGACTTAGAAAAGCAACATTTGGCCGATGGAAAATTATATTTTTCTTTCTGCAGGAAGTTAGAAAATCATATAAAAATCAAGGGAGACTAAAATAATGATATAATGCAATCTTTCGATCGATGAATACGGCTCTGTTCTCGGATAAGCAGATAATGGATCTCATGAACGACAACAATAATTCACAAGACGGCGATCATCATCAGAAACACCGTGTCGGCGATAATGGATTGGAATCGAACAAGGAAGCTATCTTCCCTAGCTATGATTTCCATCCTATCCGCCCTAATGCCTCCGTCGGATTGTCTCACCACGCTTTAGATCTCGCCGGATCTGTTAATTCCACGGCTGCTAGGGTTTGGGATGCGTCTGATCCCAAACCGGTTTCAGCTTCTTCCGCAAGAGTAATATATTCCTAAATTCTCATCTCTCTCCTAAACCGGTCTTTATGATCAAATCTCCTTCGTTTTGTTGGCTTCATTAGTTTATTACGATTTTACGTTATTTGGCTTATTAGAATCGGTTCTAAGGTTTCGACTGTGTTAATTGATATATACTAGTTGTGGTTACACTGTGTTTACATTTGCTTATCTGTTTATAAATGTTTGCTACACTATAAGGTTTTGTAGAATACTAACTGATTTTTAGGTAGTATATATGATCTCCAGCTATTGTTTACTTTTATGTTTCATTTAATCTTGCTTGATGCTTGCATGGTTAGGATAATGATAGTGATCACACTTAGCCTTGCTTGTTGCATTTGTTCGTTCTTGCAGAGTTATGGTTCTATGGACTCTCTTGAACCTTCAAAGTTGTTTGCTGAGAAGGATCGAAATTCCCCTGAGTCAGCGATTATATCTGCAATTGATCGGACAATGAAGGCACATGCTGATAGCTTGTTACATGTTATGGAAGGTGTCAGTGCACGTCTAACGCAGCTGGAGACCAGAACCCGAAATCTCGAGAACCTGGTTGATGATGTCAAAGTTTCTGTTGGGAACAGTCATGGAAAAACTGATGGGAAGTTGAGACAGCTTGAAAACATCATGTTAGAGGTAATTTAATTCTTTTTGGATACCTAAGAATCACATGAATCTGAGATATTAGACAAACGTTCTGTTCTGCCTTTTGGATGCCAATTTTTGCCTACCCGGGGAATTATTTATCTGTTAACTTGAAAGAAGTTTCTGGTTTCATGATTTTCATTTTTCCATATATTTTATGTATCTGGGATTTCATACTTTTCGATGTATCATCTATCAAGCTTCTAGATTCCTCAGTACCTTCTTTCTATGATTGCATTCAGGTGCAAAGCGGTGTACAGTTGTTGAAGGACAAACAAGAAATAGTTGAAGCGCAGCTTCAGCTTTCAAAGCTCCAGTTATCAAAGGTAAACCAGCAGCCCGAGACACACTCTACACATGTTGAACCCACTGCTCAGCCTCCCGCATCACTGCCTCAGCCACCAGCTTCTGCTGCAGCTCCCCCATCTCTTACTCAGCAAGGACTCCCGCCACAACAATTTATCCAACCGCCCGCCTCACAGCACAGTCTCCCACCACCTTCATCTCAACTGTCTCAGCTTCCTAGCCAGTTCTCTCCCCAGCAAGATCCTTATTTCCCTCCACCTGGTCAGTCCCAGCCACCTCCAACAAACCAGCCTCCTTATCAACCTCCTCCTCCAACCCAGTCACTGCATCAACCACCTTACCAGTCACCTCCTCAACAGCCACAATACCCGCAACAGCCACCTCCTCAGCTCCAACACCCGTCAGGCTACAACCCGGAGGAACCACCTTACCCTCAGCAATCTTACCCGCCAAACCCTCCTCGTCAACCACCTTCTCATCCACCTCCTGGTTCCGCCCCATCTCAACAGTACTACAACGGTCCTCCAACGCCACCATCAATGTATGATGGATCAGGCGGCAGATCCAATTCAGGTTTCCCTTCCGGGTATTCTCCTGAACCGTACCCGTATACTGGACCTCCTTCCTCACAGTATGGAAACACCCCAATCTGTGAAACCGCCACATCAGAGTGGAAGTGGATCTGGTGCCTTACCACAGCTTCCAATGGCACGACCA